ACATGCTATGGGAAGCCCCTATTCCATCTACAAATATGCTGAAATGCTGGAGAAAATAGAACTATTTAAAAGAATATAGAGCCAAGGTAAAAAAAAACGAGAAGAGGAGACCTCCGGCTTGTGTAAAAAGCAGGAGATGGAGCTGAAACGTCCGTGGAGATATTAGGGACAGGAAGACCCTGCGTGGTGAGCTACAGAAGGAGGCTCCCTGCATGAGCCAGGGGCCAGCAAGGGCTGTCTTATCCATGAACAAAGATGAGAAATATTCCACCTACTGACCTTGGGATTTTGTTCCCAGGTGTGGGACTCAATCTCTCACTACCTGGGTAGCTAGGAAACTCCAAGCTAAGAATCAAATTTAAAAACTGGTCTAGAATCAGGCCCTGGTGGAGGCAGATAGAAAACTGCTCTGAAGGGAACTCAACAACCTGGTTCTGTGTGTGACTCTCAAGGATCATGGCCCTGCCAAAGAGAGGCTCACAGCCCAAAATGACAGTGCCTGCCAAGAATGCCTCATCATGGCAAAGACAGCAGGTGTAAGACATCTCAGGAAGCTCAGATACGACAGCAATCCAAAAGAGACTGTAGAATTAGTGTGGCTGAATGCTGCAGAGATCAAGGATCAGGCAGAACCCACAACACAAGGACTGACGAGGATGAAAAAGAAAGTGCCGGTCTGGAAAAGAACTCAACAGAAGCCCCAGACATGAGCAGCAGAGTCATGGAGATCCCGTTTTAGGAAAGTGGCAGAGTTTGACTCAAAGTTAGGAAACTCAACGCAGTCTGAATTCAGCTGAGTTTTGGGTATGTGACTTTAGTAAAACCACTCCTAACCTCAAGGGTCTATTTTCTCATTTGAAACATACGACACAATACCAATCTTAGAGGAAAGATTAGAAGATCAGAGTAAGTCAGTGTCTGTGAAAGTGCTTTGAACACTGGGAGATGCTGGAAAAGTTTGAGTCGGGTCATTCATTATAACCAAATGACTTCAAGCTGTCATTCTCAGGAGGAGTTCAGTCATTGCTCTGTTTTTCCCCTAAAGACACATCTGCAGAGCACCTGGAGACATTCCAGAGTGATGTCACATAAGAGGGTGTGATGGGCACTACTGTGTGGGGCGTGGGGCCGTTTCCTCCCCGTAATTCCTGTAGACTACAGCCACCTAGGCCACCTGCAGAGAATGGGGCTGATTCAGTTCAACAATCAGGGACAGCTGAGTTTCTGGCACTTGAAAAGCAAGAGCAGAAGTGACATTTAGCCTGCAGTCCCTCCCCAGCCGGTAAAATGTCTGGCCAATGTTTCTGGTGTGGGAGATCCAGGAGGACTTGTGTGTACTACCAAATCCAACTCGAGCGTGTGGCTTGGGGCCACCAGGCTGGGCTGTGAGTCCTGCCCTTGCCTCCTAGTCACTGTGCCACACTGGACAGCTGCTTCCTCTCTAGTCTTGGTTTTCTCGTCTGTGAAATGCTGTCAATAACACTCTTCTTTTAGACTGGATTAGAGGCACCCATGAAAAAGTGCCTGGTATGCAGCTGATGCTCAATAAATGCCTGTGACCATTCTGTCTCCTCCCCTTTCCCTTCTCAGAGTGGGGCAGGTCAGTCCACAAACCAGCAAACTCTGACCATAGAAAATGGGCAGAGGAGGTTAGCCTCCTGAGCAAGGCAGGGTTGAGGGCATTTTTCTAGAGGGGCAGAGAAATGAGCCATCCGCCTAATCCCCGTGTGCCCTTCACATAGTGTCACTAGCTCTCTGATCCTCAATTTTTTCATCACTAGGTGTCTCCTTCAAAGCCTCTGCAACAGCTGCTGCTCCTTCTTCCTTACTAACAGAACCTGAGTTTTGGCCAGGCGCAGTGACTCATGCCTGTAATCACAGCACTTTGGGAGGCTGAGGCAGGAAGATCACCTGAGGTCGGGAGTTTGAGACCAGCCTGACCAACATGGTGAAACCCTGTCTCTACTAAAAATACAGAAATTAGCTGGGCATGGTGGTGCGCGTCTGTAATCTCAGCTATTGGGAGGAAAATCGCTTGAACCCGTGAGGCAAAGATTGCAGAGAGACAATATAGTGCCATTGCACTCCAGTCTGGGTGACAGAGCAAGACTCCATCTCAAAAAACAAACGAACAAAAAAACGAACCCCACCGGGAATGGTGGCTCATATCTGTAATCCCAGCACTTTGGGAAGCCAAGGCGAGCCGATCAGGAGGTCAGGAGATCCAGACCATCCTGGCTAACACAGTGAAACCTGTCTCTACCAAAAAAAAAAAAAAAATACAAAAAATACAAAAAATTCGCTGGGCATGGTAGCTCTCGCCTGTAGTCCCAGCTACTCGGGAGGCTGAGGCAGGAGAATTGCTTGAACCCAGAAGGTGGAGGTGGCAGTGAGCCGAGATCACCACCACTGCACTCCAGCCTGGGCAACGGAGCGAGACTCCGTCTTGTAAAAAAAAAAAAAAAAAAAAAAAAGAAAAGAAGGAAAATAGAACCCCAGTTTTGTTTGGGACTGACAGGACCAGCCCTTGCAGGCTTCTTCTTATGTGGGATCAGCAGATGCAAGGCCTGGAGGCACAGCAGCCATTGTGTAACCTTGAATCAAAGCACACAGGCAGTGGGGGCAAGCCGACTTGACTTTTCTGCTTCCTGGCTGTGTGGCCTTGGGTATGTTACTTAACTTCTCTGTGCCTCATTTCTCACAATCTTTAAACTGAGGATAAAATGTCTACCTTGTGCAATCTTATGGGGTCTAAATAGTGCATTGGCTCTGAATCCACTTTTTCGGTTGTAAACGGCTATCCCAATGTTTGTAGTTACTTGTGCCATTCTGCTATAGAGGACTAGTTGTAACTTTAGAGATAAACAAAGAAGAGCCCCTTTATTTCTCCTCTTGGACCAAGTTCCAAGGCTGGATGTGGGCCTCAAGCCAACCAGCCTTGCTCTTTAGCCATCAGCTATGCAAACAGGAAGTGGCTCTCCAAACACTGCGCGCTGCAGGAGGCTGGCCCAGAGTCCGCCTCTTTGGATGCCTCCCTCTAGCCCCATGCCTTCCTATCTCCCAGCTGTGAGCTCCTCAGATGTCCAGGACAAGGCCCCCCTCCTCTGAGGAGTTAGGTTCAAGGCCACCCCTTCTGGCTGCCCTGCCGCCAGCCTGGGCCAGACCGCTGTCCTCGCAGGCCAGGGGAAGACAGGGGCCCTCACTGGGCTCTGCGCTGTCTCCTGCTCTCCCTGTCTGCCCGTCTCTTTGTCACACTGTAGCCAGGGTAACTTTTTATTGAAATGTAAATCTGCTTCTGTCACCTCCTTGCTTAAAACTTTTCCATGGCTTCACGTGCTTTCTCTTAAGGGAAAAACCGAAGTCCTTGCTGCCACCTTCCAGGCCCTAAATGGGCCTCCCTCTAGCTCTACCCCTCCAGCCACTCTGGCCTCCTTTTAGTTTTTGAACGATGCTAAGGTCCCTTCTGCCCCAGGGCTTCACCTGTACTGTTTCCATTTTCTAGAATGTTCTCTCCTCTTCTCTCTCCATCTGGCTCTATGACATCCCATCCTCAAGTTTCACTTCTTTGGGGCAGGCTGATGAGTGCCCCCCACATCCTGCCTTCTGCCACACCTTGGTTCCTGTGAAGGTCTCAGCTGCTCACAGGTGGCTGCTCAGGGTAGGGACTTCAGTCTGTCCTAGTCACATGGCTGCATCCTTGATGCCTGGGATACCCCTGGCACAGAGAAGGTGCTCAGCAAATGTGGTGTCAGGCTGGCGGCAGGCAGGGGTGCCTTGTGATTTGAAAGGGAGAGAGGCTCTGTCTACCAAGCATCTACCATGCGCCTGACAGGACCTCATGGCTTCACAGCATTCCAGCAGGCATGGACCCCAATCTGTGTTCCACCCAAGAGGAAGCAGGCTCTGCAAGGGGTGGCGACTTGCCCGAACTCACACATCTGCCAGATCCCTGCCAAGATTTGAACCTGTGTCCCAAGTCCAGCTTCCTGCCCTGGTGGAGCTAGCACAGGCACTCATTATACATCTGTTTCCTCATCTACAGAATGGAAACATAGTAGTACCCACTTCACAGGGCAGTTGGGAGGCTGAAATGAGTTAAGCCACATAAAGCACTTAGCTCAAAACCTGGCACACAGCAGTTGCTTAGTAACTGTAAGCTATTATCATTATGATCAAATCCAGGAACAAATGAGAATGAGCACATTCAAGTGCCATCTATGATTAAAAAAAATAGATAAGAGGGTCTTTGTGGGTGAACAGGGGATGGATGGACATCTGGCTGGCTGGGTGGGTGGGTGGGCAGCTGGATGGGTGGGTGGGTGAGTGAGTGGATGGATGGACAGGTGGGTTAGTGGATGGATGGATGGGTAGATGGATAGATGGATGGGTGGGTGGGCAGGTGGGTGGCTGGATGGGTGGATGGGTGAGTGGATGGATGGATGGGTAGATGGATATATGGATGGATGGGTGAATGGGTAGATGGATGGATGGATGAATGGGTGGGTGAGTAGATAGGTGGGTGGGTAAGTGGATGGATGGATGGGTAGATGGATGGATCGATGGGTGGGTGAATGGATGGGTAGATGGATGGATGGATGAATGGGTGGGTGGGTAGATAGGTGGGTGGGTGAGTGGATGGATGGATGGATGGTTGGATGGGTGGGTGAGTGGATGAATAAATGGATGGATGGATGAATGGGTGGGTGAATGGATGGATGGATGGGTAGATGGATAGATGGATAGATGGGTGGGTGGGTGAGTGGATGGGTGGATGGATGGATGGATGAATGGATGGGTGGGTAGAGAGATGGAAAGCAAGCAATGGAGTAGACTTATGACAGGCAATGGAGAACTGATGAAGGAATGGAAGAACACATGAATAAACCCAAGGAGAAACTGGGGAACACGAGAGCAAGTGGGAGGAGAATTGCATACCCAAAATCTGGGAGAATGGGAGCCAAATTGGGGCACCTGGGCTCAGGGCCTGCACCCCCGCTCACCTGTACTGTTGCAGCTCCGCCTCCAGCTGCCGCACCCAGCGTTGCAAGCCAGGCACCTGCCGTGCCAGCGCCTCCAGCTCTCGCACGCGGTGCAGGCTGCGCAGTACCACCTGCCGGGCCTCTTCCGCGCGCCGCCGCACCTCGGCCTGGCCTCGGCGCAGCCGCCCAGCGCGGGCCTCCGCTGCAGCCAGGGCACCCTGCGCCTGCCGCAGCTCCCGGGCCGCAGCCTCCGGCTCGCCGCGCCCAGTCTCGTGGATGCTCGCCTGGCTCTTCCAGAGCCCGACCTGAGTGGAGAGGGGAGCAGGGGATGAGTGCCCCAGCCAGATGCACGAGAAGAACGCCCGCAGGACCGCGGTCCCCATTACTGCACACCCAGAAGCGCGTGAGCAAGCTTATTGCACCGTCTGCTTCCGAGTGCCAGGCCCTCAGGCCAGGTGCATCCGAGCTCCTTTGAGCTTTAACCTTCGTCATATCCCTAGGGAGGCGGGAGCTCTAATGATTCCTCCTCGCCCCTTACCCTCCGGCGGTTTTTTCTTTTCTTTTCTTTTTTCTTTTTTTTCCTCCAGCGGTTTTTTTTTTTTTTTTTTTTTTTTTCTTCTGACAAAGGAAACTGAGACAGGACACCTGCATTCTGTTCCCTCTGTGATTCCAGTGATTTTCCATTTTCCAACCTCACTACTCTTCTCGGCCTACTTCTGTGTTGGTGGTGGTCAGCCTGCTGGTGGCCCTAGACCCCAGGAGCATCTAGGCACCCCCCACTGGCATTTCAGCCCTCCCCGTGCTTGCTCACTAGAGGCTCCTTGAGGGTGGTTTCTGTCTTGTTCACTGGTGTGTTCCCAGAGCTTAAAATAAACCTGGCACATAGTAGGTGCTCAATAAATACCTGAGCATGAGTGACGCCGGAAAACCTTTCAGGCATTCCCACGACTCCCCGTACGTTACTTGGGATTCCACATCAGGGGAGTACTCTCCAGCTTCCACCCTGGCCTACACACACACTGAAAACCACACCTTGCCGCTTCCCTGCACTCTGCAGTGTCCTGGGCTAAGGCGGGGTCATATAACAGTTTCTTCCTGGCCTGTTGTCGCCTGGGGTAGGGGCTGTTCCTTTCCTCCTCTGACTCCTGCGACCCAGCACTGCCCTTGGCGCACGGCTGGCACAGTGCTGAAGTGTTTGTCGACAGCTCCCAGATGCTGAGGCTGGGTCCCTATCTCGTCTGATGGTTCCTTCTCAATAGCCCAGAGCGGAGCGGGTCTGGTACCCGCAGGCACTTGGTGGGCCGTGAATGCCTGATCCATACTGGGAGCCACCCTGCCTATTTCTCACTGGTCTCTGTTTCTCCCGCAGAGAGCCCCATAAGTCTTTGTTGATTGAAGGAAGGAGCTGTCAGTCTACCCTAGGAGGCAGGGAGATCAGTACAAGGCCTCCACACTTTTGTCTTCTAAACCTCCTAGAAGCCTGGCAGGAAGGAGAGAGAAAAATGCTTGCTGAAAGGGAATATGTGAGACTATCCAGACAGGTGCGATTCCTGGGTTAGAAGAGGCAAGACGCAATGGGGGATATGTGTGCAGAAAAGTGTCTGAGTGTGACGGGTTTTCGGGAGTGGAATTGATTTTAAGAATAGGGTTGGGGACTGGAGTGGAATGGGGAGGAACATGGACAGGATGCAAGGGCTGAGGCGGGGGTGGAATGGTGTAGGGCTACCCTCTATCTCCCCTTCCTCTGCCTCTGTCCCGTCGGGCTCCGCAGCCTGCGAGCTTGTAGTTCGAGCCCTCTTGCAGGCGTTACCACCCCGCCTCCGTGGCCGACACGCACCTGCAGCGCTAGGCAGCGCGCATCACTGCTCTGCAGCGCAGCCCGCAGGTCCTCCACCAACTCGCGCAAGCTGCTGTTCTCCTCTTCCAGACGCGCCACGCGCTCGCAGTCTGGACCGCTGTCCGGGCCCGGAACGCAGGGTGGGCGGCGGCGGCGGCGCGGGCGACGCAAGCGGATCTGCGTCTCGATGTGCTCGCTGAGAGCGCCGCGGGGCAGCCGGGGCCCGGCACGGGTGCCGAAGTAGCCACAGAGGCGCGCGTGGAACTGGCGAAAGGTGAGCTCCGGTGGCTCAGCGCGCAGCGCCAGGAGCGCCTCTTCCTCGGTATCTGCGTCCCTATCCGTGGCCACCTCAGCGGCCGCGTCCCCAGCGGTCACATCTCTGGAGTTCGCGTCTCCTGCCGTCTCCCCGGCTGCGGTGGTCCCCTCTGCGCGCAGCCCCAACACGGCACAGAGCGCGCGGAAGTCGGCGCGGGGCAGGCGGCCGGCGCCGCGGCAGTCCAGGTGGTGGAAGACCTCCTGCAGGTACTGGTCCAGGCCGGTGGCCAGCACCACGATCTCGTTCTCCACGCCGCGGTCCAGCCCGTAGTGGTGCGCCAGGGCGCTCAACAGCCACTGAGTGCGCCGCGCAGGCCGCCGGTACGGGTCGCCTCCCGCGCCCTCCATGCCGGCCTCAGCGCTAGCGCCGCCCGGCTCCATCGCTGCGCCGCGCGCCTCGCTCCTCTGGTCCCTCCTCCGATCCCTTCGCCCCGCCACTTCCAGGGGCGGCCGCAGAGTTTCTCGAAAGGAGGGGCTTAGCGGTCGCGGTCTGGTTGGAGCGGCGCCGGGGCCCGTGTCCAGCAGCTGAGCTGGCCTCACAGGGCGTCTGGTTTACCTCAGTTGCTTTGGAGGGACCTGGGGTAGGGGGTCTAGGAGCCCCCGGGATCCCCGCGGCGCCACCAGTGCCAGGTCTACCTCCGGATCTGGCTTCTCCGCGTGACTCTCCGCTCCCCTCTCCTTACTCCAGGGACATTCCTGTCATCTGCGCTTTTCCTCCCACTCCCGGCTGTCCACTCTCAACTCCCTCCTCGCTCCGCCCCGCCTGCCTGTCGCGGAGAGTTAGCCCCAGACCCGGGAGAGGGGCAGGCGCGGAATCTGAAGCCCAAGAGGGCCTGGGGGGGGGGGGGGGCCTAGTCCAGTTGCTGGGGATGTGCCCCCACGTCCAAGCGTCACTCTTCCCCCCTCCCCGAAAGGCCTTTCGAGGGTTGCCTGGCAAGCCTGCTCTGGCTACCCTGTAGCCATAGGTGTGGAAAAGCTTCCCCTCCGTTTACATTCAGCTACCGGTTTTCTGAATCCACTTCTTGTGCTACCATTGACCGTGCAAAGAGTCCCACGCAGTGACAGGGAAAGAAAGGGAAACAGGCTTCGAGAGGCGAGGGGTCTAGGTTAGGGGCACCCCGCTGGTGAGAAGCCAATCTGAGACTAGTCCTGTGCTAACTGCTCTGTCGCTCCCCGACCCCCTCCCCCGTCCCTGTTGGGGGTGGGGATAGGACTTTCGGGAAAATGGTGTCTCTGGCCCTGCCACCTTTGTGCCTGCGGATGGTGACTTGGCAATGGGATCCCAGTTCCATCTCTGAGTTGGGGCTAGGCTGACAGGATGGTGTTTGGCTGAGGTTTTTTTTTTTCTGGTGTTTTAGAACACATTTCTGGAAGATGAAGAAAACCCTGCTTCATAGACGAGTGCTGGACTGTGTTCCCTTTCTTTTTCACGAGAGGGGTGCAGTGATATTGTGATATTGTCCTCCTGTTACCTGCACTGAGAACGGTTTTCCAGCCACGGTATCCAGCCACGTTGAAGCAAGAGGCAGACTCTTCAGCTGTTCCTAGCTATAACAGAGAGAGAATCTTGCCCTGTGGATAACTCTGAGTTTAAATGTAAAATCCTGCTGTTTGAAAAGCAATAGCATTCGGTCTCCTCTGTCACAGTATCCCAGAATCAGCACTTTGTCCATTTGGCAAATTCATTCAGGTTCTTGAAGGCTTTGCCCAGAGTACATCTCTGCTGGGAAAAAGTTAGAGGCTTCTCCCCAATCATTTTGGACATACTCTTTTAGGTTTGTTTTTTAATTATAAAAGTAATGGCAATTTGACACAATTTTTACATCACGTCCACTTCTTGGCTTCTTTCTACTTCAGAAAGCCACCGGGCACAGGATGCTCACTGCGTCATTGTTTATTACAGTGAGAAACAGGAGACAACCTGGTGTCCGTCAGATCAGCTAGGATTCAGCAAACAAGGATGAGCGACGCAGCAAGGCGCAGCTGACTGCACAACACTGATGCTTACATAGCAAGAACAAAGCCACACAAAACAATACTAAGTATTTTCTGCAAGGACATGTGTATGTGAGTGCATAGAAGATGGAGGGGGTTATAAGTGAATTCACTGGTTCTTTCTGCAGATGGGAGACACTGCAGTATGAGATGCTCTCATATGTTTCTTTTTCTTGGCCGGGTGAGATGGCTCCTCATGCCTTGGAATCCCAGCACTTTGGGAGGTGGAGGCAGGAGGATTGCCTGAGCTCAGGAGTTTGAGACCAGTCTGGCCAACATGGTGAAACCCCATCTCTACTAAAAATACAAAAAATTAGCTGGGAATCGTGGCAGGTGCCCGTAGTCCCAGCTACTCAGGAGGCTGAGGGAGGAGAATCACTTGAACCCAGAAGGCGGAGGTTTCAGTGAGCCGAGATCATGTCATTGCACTCCAACCTGGGCAACAAGAGCAAAACTCTGTCTCAAAGAAACAAAAACCAAAAAACAAAAAGACAAAAAAACTGATTTTATTTTATGTCAGTGCTGAGAGCTGGTTGCCCAGGCAAGAGTGCAACACCCTCCCCGCCCCCAATCCCTGCAGCTGGTGAAGGAATCCTTTCAACACTGGTTTTCCTGGGCCAGTCAATATTGAAAACAAAGCTTTTAAATGTCTTGCTGGGAGCCGTTGCCAGCCTCCGCTCCCCTACAGCTCAGGGAAGTAAGGGTTGATGATGGTATGCTGTCAGGCCTGTCTGTCTGCCCCGCAGTGTTACCAGGCGCCTCTGAAATAATTCTGGTTGCATCCACAAGGTTTTTGTTTAAGGTTCAAAGTGAGCAAATGCAGAGGTCTCCTTGAGTTCTTTTGTATGAGCTGGGGGGATGGGCGTGTGTCTGTGAGGGGGAGAGTCAGGGCTGTGGCAAAGAAATGATTTTCTGAAGTCAGTTCAGTATTGTTTGAGCCATTTCAAATAGTACATTGTTTAAAGTGTCTTTTAAAGGTCCGGGAAAATGCTAAAAAGCAAAAATCATCCACTCTTCTGCCACCAAGAAGGGACCACTGTGTATTTCTGATGTATTTATTTCCAGACATTTCCATGTATTGGGGCATGAAAGGACTTACTGGAGTGATGGAAATACTCTGTATCTTTGTAGTGTGGTGGTTGCACGACTGTGTACATCTGAATTTTACAGTGTGCAAATTGCAGCTCATTAAACTTGACATGAAAAGCACAGTGGAAAGGCCGCCATTGGGGTCTTTCTTTGCGCAGGAACTGAGCTTTGTAAACAGCGTGGCTGTGGTTTCTTTGCAGACACTGCTCCAGAGGCTGCCCTATGCTCCCTCAGGATGGACTATAAGGTGCTTTGTCATCCCCCACAGATGCCCACCAAGGTGGTTTTCAGCTTTTCTCCACAAAAACAATACTGTGAACAGTTTGCCCCGTATCTTGAGTGCTTTATTACTTGACCAAGGAGTATATATATTTTATAAGCTCGTGATATTGTCAGACCATTTTTTGGAAAGTTGTGTTATTCTATCCAGAGCCCAGAACCGTCTGGGAATGTTCTTGGGCCATTATTTTCAGTGTCATAAACCTTTTGGGGTTTTAGGGGTCTTGGTTAGTGGATGTGCTTAGTGTTCAGACACCAAGCTTTACTTCTATTAAAAATAGACCTGCTGTTAGGCAAAGATATTTCTTAGATACAACCCCAAATGCATGATCTGAAAAAGAAAAAAGTGGAGTGGTGAATTGGACCTTCATCAAAGTTCAAACTGTTTGTACTTCAAAAGATACCATTAAGAAAGTAAGAAGAGGGCCAGGCACGGTGGCTCAAGCCTGTAATCCCAGCACTTTGGGAGGCCGAGGCGGGTGGATCACGAGGTCGAGAGATCGAGACCAACCTGGTCAACATGGTGAAACCCCGTCTATACAAAAAATACAAAAAATTAGCTGAGCATGGTGGCGCGTGCCTATAATCCCAGCTACTCAGGAGGCTGAGGCAGGAGAATTGCCTGAACCCAGGAGGCGGAGGTTGCGGTGAGCCGAGATCGCGCCATTGCACTCCAGCCTGGGTAACAAGAGCGAAACTCCGTCTCAATAAAAAAAAAAAAAGAAAGAAAATAAGAAGAGGCTGGGCGCGGTGGCTCAAGCCTGTAATCCCAGCACATTGGGAGACCGAGGCGGGTGGATCACAAGGTCGATCGAGACCATTCTGGTCAACATGGTGAAACCCCGTCTCTACTAAAAATAGAAAAAAAAACTAGCTGGGCATGGTGGCACGTGCCTGTAATCCCAGCTACTCAGGAGGCTGAGGCAGGAGAATTGCCTGAACCCAGGAGACGGAGGTTGCGGTGAGCTGAGACCGCGCCATTGCACTCCAGCCTGGGTAACAAGAGCGAAACTCCATCTCCAAAAAAAAAGAAAAGAAGAAGACCGGCCAGGCGCGGTGGCTCAGGCCTGTAATACCAGCACTTTGGGAGGCCGAGGAGGGTGGATCACAAGGTCAACAGATTGAGACCATCCTGGTCAACGTGGTGAAACCCCGTCTCTACTAAAAATACAAAAAATTAGCTGGGCATGGTGGCGCGTGCCTGTAATCCCAGCTACTCAGGAGGCTGAGGCAGGAGAATTGCCTGAACCCAGGAGGCGGAGGTTGTGGTGAGCCGAGATCGTGCCATTGCACTCCAGCCTGGGTAACAACAGTGAAACTCCATCTCAAAAAAAAAAGAAAATAAGAAGACCAACAAGAGACCAGGAGAAAATATTTATAAAACATATGCCCAGTAAAGGACTTACATTCAGAATTTACAATGAACTCTTACAACTCAACAGCAAGAAGACAAACAATTAAATAAAAAAATGGGTGAAAGATACAAACAATTCACCAAAGAAGTTGTATGGATGACCAACATACACATAAAACAATCTCAGTATTCTTAATTGTTAGGTAAATGTACTTGAAAACTACAATGAAATACTATATCACACCCATGAGAATAGCTATAGTGAATGAAACAGACAATAAATCTTGTCAATAATTGGAAGAAACTGGAAACTTCACGTTGTGGATGGGAACATAAAATGATGCAGCCACTGTGGAAGACAGTTTGGTGGTTTCTCAAGAAGTCAATCACAAAACGACTATATGACCCAACTATTCCACCCCTAGACTTTGACCCAAGAGAGATGAAAACACATCCATACAATGACTTACATGGGAATGTTCAGAGCAACATTGTTCATAAATGTATAAATGCCCAAGCTAAATGGCCATTAACTGATGAACGGATAGGCAAACTGGTCTGTTCATAAAACAGAATATTATTCAACCATGAAAAGGAATGAAATACTGACACATGCCTCAACATAAATAAACCTCAAAAACATATTGCTGGGTGAAAGAAGCCAGTCACAAAACCAGAATACATACAGTCTGACTCAATTTACAATAAATATCCAGAAAAGGCAAATTTTTAGAGAAGGAAAGATTTGTGGTTGCCTAGGATTGGGAGTTGGAACAGTGATTAATTATAAATGTTCATAAGTTTTATTAGGGGGATGAAAATGTTCTACAACGAACTTATGATGATGATTACACCACTCATTAAAGTTACTGAAAATCATTGACTTCTACACTTGAAATGGATGGATTTTATGAAATAAAACTTGCTTCAATAAAGCTGATAAAAATGGGGAAGGAGCAAGAAGAAGGTGGATGTAGCTGATTCCCAGGATGCCTCCAGCTGCCAGAGTCTCGGGATAACTTCAGGAAGGCCTCTGTATAACCTGTGGGAGCTCAGGGACACCCCAGCCGGCAGAGGAAGGAAGCAGGGATGGATAGTTCAGTGACCTTGAATACCTCCCGCCCCTGGATGCTTGCCCCTCTGCTTACCAGAGGTGCAGTCTATGTCTTCATCCCCTTGAAGTGGGGCCAGCTTCATCACTTGCTTTGGTTAATGGCATGTAGCAGGGTGACATGGCACTGGTTCCACCCCTAGGTCCCAAGAGGCCTTGCAGCTTCTTCTGTGCCCTCTGGGATCCCTGCTCTGAGAAGGCCATCTGAGGAAGCCAGTCCAGGCTATGGGGTGATGAGGCACCACATAGAAGGAAGCCGGTCTACCACTGGGGGTAGGGGAGCCCATGGAGGGGAACCAAGGGGCTCACCAAGAGCCAGCAGCAACTGCCAGACATGCAAGTGAGGACTTCTGGCACCTTCCAGACATGTTGGTCCTCCAGCTGAGCACAGTGTAGGGAGTGAACCCAGGTGAGGCCAGCAGAGAACTACCCAGCTGATGCACAGAGTGGTAAGAAATAACAAGTGTTTGTTGTTTGATGCCATTAAGTTTGGGGATGGTTTTTACTTAGTAACAGATAACTGAAACAGAAGCTCCCTTTCCTTTGCTTCTGATCTGCCAGCGCTGAAGTCATCTTCACTGAGGTAGGGTTGTGGACCCACCGTTCTCTCACATCTGAGACCCTCACTTCATCCTGTGATGCCCTGGGTCTCGACCCAGACACCATCTTTCTCAGGGCAGTGGTTCCATATTCTGGTTGTGCAATAGAATCTTGGTGGCAATTTAAAAATATGGCCCCTGTTCCTATTATTTATTGCACAACAAATCACTCCAAAACTTAGTGGTTTAAGAGAGCAACACTTTACTTTGCTTATAAATCTGCAGTTTCTCTTGATGGAGACAGCTTGTTTCTGTTCCTCAGTGTCAGGCAGGGTGGCTCAAAAGTTGGGGATGCTCACATGTCTGGGAGTTGAGGCTGGCAATTGGCTGGGAACTGTCAGTTAACAACAGCTTTATGTGGCCATTTCTCATGGCTGCTTGGGCTTCCTCACAACATGGTGGCTGGATTCCTAGCGTGAATACCATACCTCAAAAGAACAGGGCAGAGGTAGATGGAATTTGTATGACCTGTATGAAATCACATAGTGTCATTTCCTCTGTACTCTTTTGACTGAGGCAGTCACAAGGTCTGCCCAGTTTCCAGGGGAGGGGTCTAGACCACCCCCCCACCCCACCCCCACCCCCGGGTGAGAGGAATGTCAACATCACACCACAGGAAGATTATGTTGCGGTGAATCTTTTGAGGTGGCTGTCTTTGGAAAATATAATCTGCCACTGGTTCCTAAGCCCCGCTCCTAGAGTATCACTTCCACAGATCTTTAATGAAGCCTCAGAGTTGTATTTTTGACATGTAGGTGTTTTCAATGCACATCCAGGATGGCACATTGGTCCTTGGTCCAAGACTGCTCACTGGCCCCTCACTCCTGAGCTTGGGGAGAGATTGGCTGCTACCCTAGGTGGTGATGTGATCAAGAAGCGTTTGAAAGGAAACCAGCCTCAGGCCAGCAGGTAGGACCTGGAGAGCCCAAGGCCTGATGTCTGTCCAAGGTTGGTGGTGGTGTTCAACTGCCCTTGTTAAAGGGGCCTTTTGGGGGCTGGTGTATCTGAGTAGCTTTGTATTCTTCCAGCTCTTCATGTGTCTCCTGAGCATTTCCTGGCAAGCAGACAGGAGTCTCCAGGCTGCTGCAGATGGGGTGTGGACAGCATGATTGTGGCTCTCTGTGCTGACAGTTTGAACGCCCTTCTCACAGGGCTCACTGCCATTTGATGTCTTCCCTCACAGCTGTACTTGAGGCCCAGTTTTTTAGACTGATTGAACCCGAGGAGTATTGGAGCACCCAGTATTAAAGGGGCTGTCCCATGCCCCAAGAGCCGTCTGGGGAGGCATACACTGGGAGGCTGAGGACTTGGGTCTCAGCCCCAGTTCTGCCACAGTGTTGCTCTTTGACACAAAGTAGGTCATAGCTCAACTCAGAGCTAAAGTGTTCTTAATAGCCAAGCGTGTGCATAGCCTCAGCTCCCATTCTCTTGAACAAACTGACTGCCAAAGAGGGGTACTCTCCTTCAACAGAAGGCCTGCCTTGGCTCCCCATTGCCCATAGTCCTGTGCCCTACCTACCCTTTGGGGTTATGTACCATGGGTCCCACACATTGCTGCAGCCTCGCCATCCCTTCCTGAACTTGTCAGGCCCTTTCACCTATATGGGCCTTTGCATATGCTGTTTCTCTACTTGGAATGCCTTCTCTTGCTTTCACCACCTGGCCAACCCCCAGATTTGGCTTTGCTCACCTCCTTCATGAAGCCTACCCCAGCCCTCCACCCCAGCTGCTTGCTGTGCTGAAGTCTTCTACATCAGGAGCCACAGCCAGGGCTCTCAGCTTGGGTGGTTTAGCAGACTAGTGGAGGCTTTGGAGTCAGGCAGTCCGGATTTCAACCCAGTACTGCTCCTACTTGCTGTGTGACCTCTCAGGGGAATCGTGTCACCTCTCTAAGCCTGTTTTCTCATCTCTGAGTCGGGGCTGGTGATCACTAAACAGAATTCTCATGCTATTAAGGACATCAGCGACAGAAGCAGAGAATCTAATGACAGAGATCGTGGCGAGGTCTGAGTGTGCAGAGCCCACAGCTGCCTTTGCTTTTATTAAAGAATGGGAGGTAGGAGCTGATGGAGCGGGAGGGAGGAGCCATCAACTCCTCGGCGCCATCGTAAGGGCAAGGGCCAGGCTTATCGTAGGTGCTGACGTCCAGAGTAGAAACACCTGAAAGAGTGAACGAATGAGTGAATAAGTGAAGGCAGCTGGTTTCTGAACGTGGCTGTAGCCATTTGACAGACTCGATGCGCCGCGGCTGCGGAGGAGAGCCCCGCCCCCAGGCCGAAAGCCCGTGCGTCTCCTAGCAACAGCCATAAGCAGCTGAGCGTCTGGGCCAGCGGCCCTCCCTGCACCCGCCGACGCTCCTCGCCGTCGTGGAGATCCTTCGCCGAGGTGCCTGTGGATCCGGTACGGGAGTTGCCACCGCGGTCCGAGTCCCCGCTGCCGCCCCGCGCATCCGTTCGCAGGTACCGCCCGCACCTGGAGGGGAACGCCGACCCCTGCCCCCACTTCGGCCGCCGCAGCCCGGGACCCTTCCCGCCTCGCCTCGACGCGTTCTCCCTCCTCGGCGTTAGCCAGGCGTTCCGCCTCCGTGGGCCCTGAGCTGATGCCCCGAGCCCAGCACCCAGTGCGCATTCATGTTCTGTCTGGGCGGCAGGGCTCGCCCTCCTCGACCTCCCCAGGCTCCTGCAGGTGCTGCCCCCGGCCTGGTTTGCCTCTCCCCAAAGAGCAAACGCATCCCGTGCTTTGGCGCAGCAGTCCTGCCTGAGCAGACGCCCGCGCTCCCGCCAGGTGGCTCCGGGAGCTGCTCACCTGGGGCAGGCATTCCAGACGCCCGGCGACTGACGCCTGGTTAGGCGAAGGAAATGGGGTTGCTCGTCGTCGGGCTTGCTGCCAGCCACCCTTCTCTGTAGTTCCTTCACCCATTCATTCTCTAAGTCCGTTGAGTTTCGACTGTGTGCCAGGCAGTGATGGAGCCCCGGCGTTCACCCAGGAGCAGGCGGGGGAAGCGGGTAAGAGAAGGGCGAGTGCTCCTGCAGAAGGCCAGGCTGTCCTCGTGGAGCAGCCCTGAAATACGGGCGGGGACAGCCTTCACTTTCTCCCTGCCAGGAGCGCCGGTGCCCAGTGGTGCGCTGTGCAGCATGTCGCTGCATGCGTGGGAATGGGAGGAGTACCCCGCAAGCATAGAGCCCATCACCTCCATCACCAGCTTTTCCCAGTTCACGAGCGAGTGTGACGTGGAGGAACACCTGAAAGCCCAGGCCAGGGCCCAAGAGTCCGACTCTGACCGCCAGTGCAACAGCGTCGCGTCCTCCTCTGAGCCTGCCAGCACCTTCAGCTCCGACGTGCCCCACGTGGTCCCCTGCAAATTGTCCATCTCACTGGCCTTTCCTGTGAATATGGGTAGGTGATAGAGCAGAACTCTAACACCCTCTGAAAAAAGGGGGTGCATGAATGACTTTCTGCAGGAGTTGAGGGAGCATTTGCCCCACAACTTCTGTCCACCTGCCCCACCCCCAAACGGGCTGGCTAGTGCCAGCCAGGAGCAGAGGTTGAAAAGAAACAGCAATTTTAGGGGGCTCAACTGTAGTTGCATGAACTTCACATACTTAATCCTCTCAACAAACCTAAGAAATAGGTGATGTCCTGTCTGCTTTTTACTGGGGGGATGGGGAACCATGGATCCGTAAAGGCATTGATTTCCATAAGCTCTTGTGCATCACCTAATACCTTGTTTAAAATACATTTTCCTGGAGGCTGAGGCAGGAGAATCACTTGAACCCAGGAGGTGGAGGTTGCAGTGAGCTGAGATCGCACCATTGCACTCCAGCCAGGGCACCAAGAGCAAAACTCCATTTCCCCCCCGCCAAAAAAAAAAAAAAATCTGATCTGTTAAATCAACATCTCCGTAAAGGTGTATCAGTTAGTTATTGCCACAAAAATGTAGTGCAGCAAACCTAAACAAGCTCCCAAGCCCCAAGTTCAGTGGCTGCAAACAGGAGCCCTAGGCTCTCCTGGATGTCCTGGGTGCTGGTCTAGGCTGCATTCTGTCACGGCTCAGCTCTGCTTCAGGCTGCTGCTGCTCCTGGACGAGTAGGCTAGCCTAGACACCTTCTTGTTCTAGAAACACAGAAACACAAGAGAGCAAACTCATCCCCACAAACACTCCTCAAGTCTTTGAGTGTCTCCCACCTGCTAGCATGGTTACTGGCCAAAACACTCACATGGTTTCAGCCCAGTGTGGCAGGTGGGGACAAGTAGCACTTAAGCTCTGGATAGACCTTAGCTTTGTTTTGTTCTGTTTGCATCTGCCTGCTTGAACTAGCCCACCATGATGATTTCAGTTTCCCCTCGTATTCTGTTGATGGTTGCTTCAGGTATTTTGGAGGCCATCTGGTTAGGTGTATAGCATGTTGAGAACTGCTCCATCTTCTTGGTGAATTGAACTTTTTGTCATTTTGTAGTAACCGTTCCTCCGTTCCTGTCTAAAATGATGCATTTACTCTTGGATCTATTGCTATAAAGCAAAAGAGCCTGGAAAAAGACATCTGGCAAATATCAACTAAAAGAAAATTGGCAGTTATCGTCTTTAGCCCTCATCTCATTTGCAGCATTTTCTAAGCGTGTTTTTTCTCTTTTGGTTGGCCTCTAAAGACACTTATAAAATGGATCTCTGTGGGGCAAAACTTCAGGAGATCTTGTGTACTTAAGAATATTTTTTATCATGGCAATACTTGGACCTACCCTTGGCTGGATATGAAATTCTAGTTTCATTGCTTTTTTTCCTTTAATACCTGAGTATTTATAGCTGAGTACATAAACATTTCTTTATACAAATTGTTTATTTTCCAATAAGTGAATTTGCTGGGTTGAAGGCATGAGTTTACAGTTTTTGATAGATACTGTCAACTTGCCCTTTAAAAGGGCTGAATAATTTGCCTTCCTGTCTTCAGAAAAAGAGAGGCTCTGTCCACCTGCTGGCCACCTGGGATTGGATCAGAAAAGGTCTAATGCTACCAGAGACTGGAAGGAGAAGCTTGACTCCAGTCTCTGCACAAACGCTAACTATTCTGGTAGCAGAAAATTAGTGCTGCAGCAGCCTCCTGGGGTTAGAAACTTAGACTTTAAAAGCTACAGCTTTAAGTATAGTCCTGTTGTTACAGAATGATATTTGGATTCAATGTTTATGGAGCTCCTAACACACCTTCTTATGACGTGAAAAGCCCCAGCCTGGAGTGTGGAGTTTAAGCTGGAGTGTAAGCAGCCAGGGATGTTAGGGGTGCTCCTTGGGCTCTGGCCTCTGGCAGAAGCCCAGCTGTATCTTCCACATCCTGTCACCCTATGCACCCCACGCTGGGTAATTATGTTTTTGCTAAGCTGTTTCTCTGGAGTATCTGCCAGCTTTGCTCCTCTAAGACTCCACTGAGGGCCCCCTGGGAGGCCCACCCCACCCCACCCAGGCAGAGTTTGCCCCTCCACCTTTGTTCTTCACAACCTTGTTCCCGCTGCTATTATTGCACAAACTACATTGTACTGTGATTTTTCTTTTATCTGCTGCTTAGGGCCAGGAGGAGCTAGGGTAAGGCAAGTAAGGTATCTCTCCTAATAACATCTGGCCTGGCCATCTGATTTCACTTTAACTCTATCACCCTTTTAGCCCTAGGCCTATTAACCAACACTCAGCCTCCAGCTGAGACACTCCCTGTCAAAACCATGCACTTAAATTTTGCGCTTGGGTGCCCAGTCCAGGTCCTGCTACTCTGCTGGCTAGGAGCGCTGGGCCTGTACCTCCTTCCCCAAGCCAGGCAGGCAGTGTGGGGTGTGCAGCCTCTTGCAGCATCAAGTTCCAGGGAACTGGGGAGACGGGCCTGCTTTTTCATATGAGGTTAAAACGAGACTTCTTCAATCTGTATCTTCTAGGTCATAAGGGAAAATATGCAAGTTTGATGGAAAAATATAAGAAACACCCTAAAATGGACAGCTGTGTTGCAAAGATGCGTCATTTTTACCACATTGAGTATTTCCTTCTGCCGGATGATGGAGAACCTAAAAAAGTTGACATACTGCTATTTCCAATGGTGGCCAAAGTGTTCCTGGAGTCAGGAATAAAGGTATGTGTGTAGCTTTGTGTGTGGGCTAATGCTCATCATGCAAAGTGCCGCCTCATGGATGTGTGACATAGCTCCACCTCCAGCTGGCTAGCATTGGAAGATCCTGGGCCCCCACCTCCTGAGAGGAATCTGCACTACCTGATAATTCCAATTACTGACTTTTTTTTTTTTTTGAGTCAGGGTCTTGCTCTGTTGCCCAGGCTGTAGTACAGTGGCACAATCTTTGCTCACTGCAACCTCAGCCTCCCAGTTCAAGCAATTCTCATGCCTCAGCCACCCGAGTAACTTGAATTACAGACATGAGCCACCATGCCCAGCTAGTTTTTGTATTTTTAGATGAGACAGAGTATCACTATATTGGCCAGGCTGGTTTCGAACTCCTGACTTCAAGTGATTCGTCCGCGTTGGCCTCCCTAATTGCAGGCATTGCAGGCGTGAGCCACTATGCCTGACCTATTTTTTATTTAGATATTTTGCCCAGTAATTTCTGGGGTGTTTCAAAAGTTTGTAGTTCTTGAGATTTCCTTTTTTCTGTGTGTGTGCACGTGTACACGCTTGCTGCACACACACACTCCTGCCAGTGGTTTTGCTCTGGGTCATTGCTTGGAAGCAATCGAGGAGGATACTATTTACTGACAATTACTCCAATTTTATTTTTCCTGAGGAACACAGAAGTCTGATGGGACCCAGTACACAATGCCCCATTTCCCCTGAGCTCAGAGCCTGGAGAGTGACCAGGCACCAAAGTCAGGCAGCGCTGCCGCTGAGGGCCGGGGGGCTGCCGCTGAGGGCCGGGGGGCTGCCGCTGAGGGCCGGGGGGCTGCCGCTGAGGGCCGGGGGGCTGCCGCTGAGGGCCGGGGCTGGGGCTAGCTCTGTTGCCATGACCTTCACATGTCTTTCCCCAGTTGACATCTCTGAATGTTGTTTTACACAGACCGTGAAGCCGTGGCATGAAGGTGACAAAGCCTGGGTGTCATGGGAGCAGACTTTTAATATCAGTGTGACAAAGGAATTATTAAAGAAAATAAATTTTCACAAAATCACCTTGAGCCTTTGGAACATTAAGGATAAGGTGTCAAGAAAAGCCAGATATTATCGATTGAAGACTGCCGGTCTCACAGACGACGTGGGAGCTTTTCATAAGTCAGGTGCTCTGGTTTTATTTGAAATGGTTCTGGAAGTCTGGGGCTTACTCACTAGTAGCAGCATAAAAGCCAGTGTCTCCTGGTTTCCTCCCTCTAATTGGTATGTGCACACAGAGGTTTTTGGATCTGTGGCAGGGCATTCCACTAGGTCGTGCTGTGGAGATAGGAAGGGCCACCCCGGGCAGTGATGGTATGGTGGGCAGTGTTCCTGCAACTCCACCTTTGGGCCCTTTTATTTTAGGGCAGCTCTGACTCGGGCACCCACCGCTGGCCGGGACTAGTAGTATGTTTACAAAAAAAAAAAAAAAAGATACCAAGAAACAAAAGAGAAAACTTAAAAATCCTACCACCCCGAGACAGTTGTCTTAACATCTTCATGTAGACCTTTCCAGACTCATTTGTATAAATATTATATCGATATCAGAAAGTTTTTTTTTTTTTTTTTTTTTTTTTTTGAGACAAAGTCTCGCTCTGTCATCCAGGCTGGAGTGCAATGTTGTAATCTTGGCTCACTGCAACCTCTGCCTCCCCACTTCAAGTGATTCTCCTGCCTCAGCCTCCTGAGCAGCTGGGACTACAGCCGCATGCCACCATGCCCAGCTAATTTTTGTATTTTTAGTAGAGTTGGGGGTGGTTTTGCCATGTTGGCCAGGCTGGTCTCGAACTCCTGACCCCAGGTGATCCACCCGCCTTGGCCTCTTAAAGTACTGGGATCACAGGTGTGAGCCACTGTGCCCAGCCAATGTCAGAAAGTCTTTTGAACTCCCTTGAAGGAGAGGACCAGGAGGGGTGGAAAGATGCAGGCTTTGAAGCCAGACAGTGGAATTCAATCCTGTCTCCATCTTGTACTTGTTGTTGACCTGGGCATGTTCCTGAACATACGTTTCTCATCTGTAAAAAAAGGAAAAACAGCTAGTACCTGCTTCTCTGGAATACAGGGGGCAGGTTGATGGGAGCGGTCCACCTGGGTACAGGCAATAAGGAAGTTATGCATTGTCTATAGAAAAGTTAGGCCGGGCGCGGTGGCTCAAGCCTGTAATCCCAGCACTTTGGGAGGCTGAGGCGGGTGGATCACAAGGTCGAGAGATCGAGACCAACCTGGTCAACATGGTGAAACCCCGTCTCTACTAAAAATACAAAAAATTAGCTGGGCATGGTGGCGCGTGCCTATAATCCCAGCTACTCAGGAGGCTGAGGCAGGAGAATTGCCTGAACCCAGGAGGCAGAGGTTGCGGTGAGCCGAGATCGCGCCATTGCACTCCAGCCTGGGTAACAAGAGCGAAACTCCGTCTCAAAAAAAAAAAAAAAAAAAGAAAAGAAAAGTTAAGAACTGTGGCTGAGCGCAGTGCTCACACCTGTAATCCCAGCACTTTGGGAGGCTGAGGCAGGTGGATCATGAGGTCAAGAGATGGAGATCACCCTGGCCAACATGGTTAAACCCCATCTCTACTAAAAATAGAAAAATTAGCTGGGCATGTTGGCGCATGCCTGTAGTCCCAGATACTCCAGAGGCTGAGGCAGAATTGCTTGAACCCAGGAGGCAGAGGTTGCAGTGAGCCTCGATCATGCCACTGCACTCCAGTCTGGCAACAAAGTGAGACTGTCTTAAAAAAAAATCGCCGGGTGCGGTGGCTCACACCGGTAATCCCAGCACTTTGGGAAGCCAAGGCAGGTGGATCACAAGGTCAAGAGGTCGAGACCATCCTGGTCAACATGGTGAAACCCCCGTCTCTACTAAAAATACAAAAAATTAGCTGGGCATGGTGGCGCGTGCCTGTAATCACAGCTACTCAGGAGGCTGAGGCAGGAGAATTGCCTGAACCCAGGAGGCAGAGGTTGCAGTGAGCAAAGATCATGCCACTGCACTCCAGTCTGGCAACAAAGTGAGACTATCTCAAAAAAAAAAAAAAAAAATGCCGGGTGCGGCGGCTCACACCTGTAATCTCAGCACTTTGGGAGGCCGAGGCGGGTGGATCACAAGGTCAAGAGATCGAGACCATCCTGGTCAACATGGTGAAACCCCGTCTCTACCAAAAATATAAAAAATTAGCTGGGCATGGTGGCACGTGCCTGTAATCCCAGTTACTCAGGAGGCTGAGGCAGGAGAATTGCCTGAACCCAGGAGGCGGAGGTTGCGGTGAGCCAAGATCACGCCATTGCACTCCAGCCTGGGTAACAAGAGGGAAACTCCATCTCAAAAAAAAAAAAAAAAATTAAGAACTGTAATTAAATGCTACCAATTAAACTATGGCATAGCATTAATTGTAAGATGCCTCCTGATGCTTAGAGATGTTAAAAATAAAAGCAGGTATAGTGGTTCATGCCTGTAGTCCCAGCACTTTGGGAGCCTGAGGCAGGAGTTTGAGACCACCTGGGTAACGTGGCAAGACCCTGTCTCTATAAAAAAATTTAAAAATCAGCCCAGCATAGTGATGCACACTTGTAATTCTAGCTACTTGGAAGGCTGAGGTGGGAGGATTGCTTAAGCCTGGAAGGTCGAAAAAGCAAAACAGAGGTACACATTAGAATCAGTGATTCGAAGGATGTATAGTACTATTATTGTCAGTGCCTTCCAGATGAGTGTAATTATCCTCAGTTTTGTGTGGCTGGAAAGCCTTGCCTTTCTCTGATTTTCCAACCTGCCTTCTCAAGGAGCCTTTCTAACCATGGAGGCTTGGAACTTCCCATTTTTAATCTTTCATTTACGTTCAGGGTTTTTTACTCTTGATACTATTGACATTTTGCGCCAGATAAATTCCTTGATGTGGGAACTGTTCTGTGGATTGCCAGGTGTTTTGCAGCGTCTCTGGCCTCTACTAGCTGCCAGTAGTAGCCTGCCAGTTGTGACAATCAGTTCTTCAGACATTGCCAGATGTCCCCTGGGGATCAAAATCACCCCTGGCTAAGAAACTCTGGTATATACCTGCATTACAAGTTGTAGACTTCCAGCTTGAGAAAATGGGACTCGAGGTAATTTTTCTCACCTGGACCAAAGGAAAGAACCATGTCCTCAAAGTGTGAGTGTTGGACCACCTGCATCAGATGCTTACCTGCAGATCCCAGGCCTGATTCAGAGCTGCTGAGCCTGACTTTCTGGTCAGTATCTGCCCTGCAGTGGGCTCTCACTGGGGTAGGGTGCTGAGGTGGGAGCATCAGGAAGGATTCCTGAAAGAAGGCCCGTAGTGGCAAAGAGATGGGTAAAGGGGAATTTAGTGGCCAGAAAAGAAGGAAGGAAGGGTGTTCTAGGGCCTCCAGGGAGAGCCCACAAGCCTCTTGTTCTGAGGATTCTGATTGATTGATTGATTGAGAAGGTTCTCACCTGTTGCACAGGTTGGAGTGCAATGATGTGATCATAGCTCACTACAGTCGTCAACTCCTGAGCCCAGGTGATTCCTCCTGCCACAGCCTCCTGAGTAGCTGGGACCGCAGGTGCAACTACACCTGGTTAATTTTTAGATTTTATCTTGTGTAGAGATCGGGTCTTACTATGTTGCTCAGGCTGGTCTCTAACTTCTGTCTTCAGCAACCCTCCTGCCTTGGACTCCTAAAGTACTGGGATTGCAAGTGTAAGCCACTATGCCTAGCACTGCGAAACGTTGAAATGACAGCACCTGCTCCTTCTTGAACCCTGTCCCAAGCTTAGCATCACTGCTTATTTAAAGAAGTTTTTCTCATTTAAAAAGCAGTGTTCTATAAATTCACTTTATAGAACAATTTAGAAATAGACTAGCAAAAAAGAAATTAAAACCTCATGATTCCTGTCCAGAGATAGCCATTATTAACATTTTTTCTGTGAATGTAGTGTACATGTTGTCTTAAGTCCTGCCTTTTCTCCTTAAAAAGAATTCTTACAGAAACTTGTTTCTTAGGTGTTATGAAGGGTGTAGGATGCTTCCTGGGTGCCTGGTGGTAGGTCACATGCGGAACTTGGTAGCTTTTAGCCTGCTGGTCTTGAAGGACACATCCCAACCCAACTCAGTGTACTAGTCAGGGTCCTGTAGAGGGAAGGATTAATAGGATAGATGTATGTATGAAAGGGAGTTTATTAAGGAGTTCACATGATCACAAGGTAAAGTCCCACAATAGGCTGTCTGCAAGCTCAGGAGCCAGGAAGCAAGTCTGAGTCCCAAAACGTCAAAAATAGGGAAGCCTACGGTGCAGCCTTCAGCCTGTGGGCCCTCTGGGAAGCCACCAGTGTAGGTCCAACAGTCCAAAAGCTGCAGAACTTGGAGTCTGATGTTTGAGGGCAGGAAGCATCCAGCACTGGAGAAATATGAAAGCCGGAAGACTCAGGAAGTTGCCTCCTTCCATGTTCTTCTGCCTGCTTTCTTCTAGCCAAGTGCTGACAGCTGATTAAATGGTGCCCACCCAGACTGAGGGTGGGTCTGCCTCTCCTAAACCACTGACTCAAATGTTAATCTCCTTTGGCAACACCCTCGCCAACATACTCAGGATCGATACTTTGCATTCCTTCAATCCAATCAAGCTGACGGTCAGTATTAACCATCACACTCAGCATTTCTCTTCCCTTCAATCTGCTCATCTGCTTGATTTCTAAGGACTTCTTAAAGCCCCCGGTCATATTTAACTCCTCCTTTGCCCTCAATTCTCAACACCTCCACCTAGTTCCCAGGAGGTTTCCTCCACCTGTCGTTCTTGGGACAGCGCTCTGCCCAGCTGTCTTCTCTCTCCTGCCCTCTGGCTTTCTCTGCACCCAGGTTTGTTCGCCCTCCTCTCTCCTGCCACTGTGGCTTTGGCGCTGCCTTGCTCTGCAGCTGTTCATGGCTGCCCCAGGGCCTTTAAGGGGAACCAAGTGTAAACTTTGAGTCTGGCCTTGAAGGCATTTTACAATCTGCTTCTGAGCCTCCTCCTTGGTGCCACTGCCCCTTCACACCACAGTCCACCTCCTGGTCCCTGAAGACATGGGGATCTCCCTTGTCGTAAGGCCTGCCTCCAGCCAGCTGGGCATTCCTCCATGGCTCTCAGCCTCATCTCTTTCTCCAAAAATGTTATCTATCATTCAACACTGAATCCAATTTCACTTCTTTTTTTTCCTACTTCTTTCTTGTAGCATCTTTCATTTCCATTTTTGTTGTTGTTGTTGTTGTTGTTGTTGTTGTTGAGACAGAGTTTTGCTCTTGTTACTCAGGCTGGAGTGCAATGGCGCGATCTCGGCTCACCGCAACCTCTGCCTCCTGGGTTCAGGCAATTCTGCCTCAGCCTCCTGAGTAGCTGGGATTACAGGCACGCACCACCATGCCCAGCTAATTTTTTGTATTTTTAGTAGAGACGGGGTTTCACCTTGTTGACCAAGGTTGGTCTCGATCTCTTGACCTCGTGATCCACCCGCCTCGGCCTCCCAAAGTGCTGGGATTACAGGCTTGAGCCACCGCGCCCGGCCATTTCCATTTGTTAATTCACTTCCTTCATTCATTCATTATCCTGCCCATTCTTGGTGGCTGCCATGTGCATGCAAGGCCTCTAGGGATAGAAATGAAGGGCGTTGAGGAGCTGACACCCTAGCTGGGAACAGGGCACTCTGGGGACAGTCCTGGCTTTGTTAAGGACAAGCTCTCTGACCACAGGAAAGTTACTTCAGTGTCACTTCTTCACCTGTGAGGTGGGGGGATACTCCTGCCCTCCTCAAAGTGGAATGCAAGGAGCCAGTGCATGTCGTGGGCTCAGGGCTCGCATTTGGAGGATGCCGCTGGCTGAGGTCTGAGAACTTCAACGCGTGTGCCTATCCCAGACATGTGCTTATTGTTTTGAGTTTCCTGGAATTTGGAGGCAGCTTCCTAAGCAGCATCTCCAGGAGAAGAGGGACCTTATCTACTGCTTCATCATCTTCAGAGGAAGGTGACCGTCACTACAGGTATACCTTGACTTATTGTGCTTTGCTTTATTGGGCTTCACAGAGATCATGTTTTTCCAGATTGGAGGTTTGTGGTAACTCTGTGTCAAGTAAGTCTGTTGGCACCATTTTTTCATCCTTGTCTGCTCACTTTGTGTCTGTCACATTTTGGTAATCAATTCTTGTGGTTTTTCAAACTTATTATATTTGCTTTGGCGACCTATGGTCTGTGATCTTTGATATCACTATTGCAAGTGCTTGGAGGTGCCACAAACTGCACACATATGAAATGGTGAACTTAACTGATAAACGCTGTGTGTGTTCTGACTCCAGAACACAGGGCTCCAGTGACCAGCCATTCTCCTGTCTCTCCCTCCCCTCAGGCCTTCCTATTCCCTGAGGCACAACAAGGCCGAAATGAGGCCAGTTAATAACTCTACAATGACCTCCAAAGTGTTCAAGTGAAAGGAAGCATCGCATATCTCTCCCTTTAAGTCAACAGCTAGAAATGATTAAGCTTAGTGAGGAAGCCACATCAAAAGCCTAGATAGGCTGAAAGCTAGGCCTCTTGTGCCAGTTAGCTAAGTTGAGAATGCAAGGGAAAAGTTCTAGAAGGAAGTTAAACATGCTGCTCCAGTGTACACAGCAATGCTAAGAAAGAGAAACAGTCTTACAGCTGACACAGAGGACGTTTTAGTGGTCTGGCTAGAAATCAAACCAGCCACAGTATTAGCTGAAGCCTAATCCAGAGCAAGGCCCTCACTTTCTTCGGTTCTATAAAGGCTGAGAGAGGTGAGGACACTGCAAAAGAAAAGTCTGAAGCTAGCAGAGACTGGTTGATGAGGTTGCAGGAAAGCAGCCATCTCCAGAACAGAAAAGTAGAAGGTGAAGCAGCAAGTGCTGATGGAGAAGCTGCAGCAAATTATTTAGGAGATTTAGCTAAGATCACTGATGAAGGCGACGACACTAAGCCACAGATTTCAGAGTAGATGAGACAGCCTTCTATTGGAAGAAGCTGCCATATAGGACTTTCATAGCTAGAGAGAAGTCAATGCGTGTCTTCAAAGGACAGGCTGACTCTCCTGTTAGGGGCAGTGTAGCTGGTGACTTAAAGTGGAGACGAGTGCTCATTGACCGTTCCCACAACCCTAGAGCCCTTAAGAATAGTGCTAAATCTACTCTGCCTGAGTTTTCTAAATGTAACAACAAAGCCCGCATGACAGCACATCTGTTTACAGCATGGTTTACTGAATATTTAAAGCCAACCATTGAGACCTACTGCTTAGAAAACAGACTCCTTTCCAATATGACTGCTCATCGATAATGCACTTGGTCACCTAAGGGCTCTGGTGGAGGTGTACAAAGAGATGACTTTGGTTTCAGCATCCATGCTGCAGCCTATGGATCAAGGAGTAATTTTGACTTTCAAGTCTTATTATTTAAAAAACACATTTCAGAAGGCCATAGCTGCCATAGATAGCGATTCTTTTGATTGATATGGGCAAAGTAAATTGAAAACCTTCTGGAAGGCCCAGGCACAGTGGCTCATGCCTGTAATCCTAGCACTTTGGGAGGCTGAGGCAGGTGGATCACCTGAGGCCAGGAGTTTGAGACCAGCCTAGCCAACATGGTGAAACCCTGACTCTACTAAAAATACAAAAAATAGCCAGGTGTGGTGGCGGGCACCTGTAATCCCAGCTGCTCGGGAGGCTGAGGAAAGAGAATTGCTTAAACCCAGGGGGCAGAAGTTGCAGTGAGCTGAGATTGTGCCATTGTACTCCAATCTGGGTGACAGAGTGAGACTCCATCTCAACAACAACAAAACCTCTGGAAAGGATTCACCATTCTAGGTGCTTTTAAAATATCTGACTCATGGGAGGAGGTAAAAATATTAACATTAATAAGAATTGGAAAAAGTTGATTCCAACCTTCATGGATGACTGAGGGGTTTAAGACTTCAGTGGAGCAAGTCACTGCAGATGTGGTGGAAAGAGCAAGAGAGCTAGAATTGGAAGTGGAGCCTGAGGATGTGACTGAATTGCTGCAATCTCATGATCCATCTTGAGTGGATGAGGAGTTGCTTCTTATACATGAGCAAAGAAAGTGGTTTCTTGAGGTGAAATAGAATATACTTCTAGTGAAGAGGCTGTGAACGTTGTTGAAATGACAACAGAGGATTTAGAATAGTACACAAATTTAGTTGATAAAGGAGGAGCAGAGTTTGAGAGGATTGACTCCAATTTTGAAAGCAGTTCTAGTGCAGGCAAAATACTATGAAACAGTCTCACATGCAACAGGGAAACCTTTCATGAAAGGAAGAGTTGATCAATGTAGCCAACTTCATGGTGAGGTGAACCCAGTCCTCAGCACCCACCACCCTAATCACTGAGCAGCCATCAACATTGAGGCAAGACCCCCACAGCAAAAATGATTACCTGAAGGCTCAGATGATTAACATTTTTTTTTTGGATAGGGTCTTGCTCTGTCCCCCAGGCAGCAGTGAGGTAGTGCGATCATGGCTCACTGCAGCCTCGACCTCCTAGACTCAAGTAGCCCTCCCACCTCAGCCTCCCAAGAAGCTGGAATTACAGGTGCATGCCACCATTCCTAGCTATTTTTTCTTTTTTGTAGAAACAAGGTTTCACTATGTTGCCTAGGCTTGTCTTGAACTCCTGGCCTCAACTGATCCTCTCACCTCAGCCTCCCACAGTACAGGGATTACAGGCAGAAGCCACTGTGCCCAGCCTGTGACATCTTTTAGCAATAAAGTATTTTTTCCTCTTTTCCTTCCTTCCTTCTCTCCCTCCTTCCCTTCCTTCCTTCTTTCTTTTTCTCTTTTTTATTAAGAGACACAGTCTCTCTCTGTTATCCAGGCTGGAATGCAGTGGTGCAGTCACAGCTCTGTGCAGCTTCAAACTCTTAGGCTCAAGCAGTCTCCCATTTCAGCCTCTCAGAGTGCTGGGATTATAGGCATGAGCCACTGTACCTGGCCCAGTAAAGCATTTTTTTTTTTTTTTTTTTTTTTTTTTTGAGACGGAGTTTTGCTCCTCTTACCCAGGTTGGAGTGCAATGGCGCAATCTCGGCTCACCGCAACCTCTACCTCCTGGGTTCAAGCAATTCTCCTGCCTCAGCCTCCTGAGTAGCTGGGATTACAGGCACATGCCACCAGGCCCAGCTAATTTTTTGTATTTTTAGTAGAAACGGGGTTTCACCATGTTGACCAGGACGGTCTCGATCTCTTGACCTCGTGATCCACCCGCCTTGGCCTCCCAAATTGCTGGGATTACAGGCTTGAGCCACTGCGCCCGGCCCCAGTAAAGCATTTTTTAAACTAAGGTATGTACCTTTTTTTTTTTTAAGGATATAATGCTGTTGTACATTTAATGTAATACTACAGTATGGTATAAACATAATTTATATGCACTGGAAAAATTATGTGTGACTCACTTTATTGTGATATTTACTTTAGTCTGAAACTAAACCCACAATATCTCCAAGAAATGCCTGTAGTATTGGTCACTGCCAATCAAAAAGAAAGAAATGCCCATAATAGATATTCAATAAATATTTGGATCGATTGACTCAATGATTCTTTCTTCTCCTGCATTCTAGAAGTGAGACATTTAGTTTTAAATCAGAGAAAATTATCTGGACAGGGCATTGAGAATGCCAACATTGTCAGAGAGGAGTGGAACCAGGAACATCCACGAGGAAAACAAGAAAAAGCAGAAAAACACCCAAAGTCTTTGCAAGGTGAGCAGAGAAGGGTTTTGTGGAGAAGCTGGGTGCAAGGCAGCGCAGGGAAAGCCGTTGCATGGTGCGCTGGGGTGGTGCGTGTGCACCGGAGTCCCTCCTGTGTGTTGGCAGTGGAGGTGGGCGGGGCTCACCCTGCCACACGGCTGCACTGGTCTTGCTGCATAGCTTACTTTTTGTTACTGATTCTTTTATTTTTAAGTTTAATGTATGTGTGTGTGTGTGTGTGTGTGTGTTTTCAAAATTTTCTTTTCTTTTTGAGACAGAGTTTTGCTCATGTCTCCCAGGCCAGAGTGCAATGGCACGATCTTGGCTCACTGCAACCTCCACCTCCCAGGTGGAAGTGATTCTCCTGCCTCAGCCCCTCAAGTAGCTAGGATTACAGATGCCCACCACCATACCCAGCTGATTTTTGTATTTTTTTTTTTTTTTTTTTTTTTTTTTGAGACGGAGTTTCACTCTTGTTACCCAGGCTGGAGTGCAATGGCGCGATCTCGGCTCACCGCAACCTCCGCCTCCTGGGCTCAGGCAATTCTCCTGTCTCAGCCTCCTAAGTAGCTGGGATTACAGGCATGCACCACCACACCCAGCTAGTTTTTTGTATTTTTAGTAGAGACGGGGTTTCACCATGTTGACCAGGATGGTCTCGATCTTTCGACCTCGTGATCCACCCGCCTCGGCCTCCCAAAGTGCTGGGATTACAGGCTTGAGCCACCGCGCCCGGCCTGTATTTTTAGTAGAGATGAGGTTTCACCTTGTTGGCCAGGCTGGTCTCAAACTCCTCCTGACCACCAGTCTCAGTCTCCCAAAGTGCTGAGGTTACAGGCGTGAGCTATTGCACCTGGCCTCAAAAACTTTTCTGACTGTAGAAGTTATATATGTGGTTTTTAGAAAATTTAGTGAATAGATAATAAAACAGAAGAAACATAATTTAATCACAAGGAGCAATCTATGTAACATTGTAGTTACTATATTGTAGAGAATTTCTTAGTTTTTGTTGTAGGATTTTTTTTTTTTTTTTTTTTTTTTTATGCAGAGTCTCACTCTGTCACCTGGGCTGGAGGGCAGTAGTGCAGTCTTGGCTCACTGCAACCTCTGCCTCCTTGGTTCAAGGGATTCTCCTGCCTCAGCCTCCCAAGTAGCTGGGACTACTGGGATGAACCATCCATCATACCCGGCTATTTTTTGTATTTTTAGTAGAGAGAGTTTCACCCTCTTGGCCAGGTTGGTCTCAAACTCCTGACCAGGTGATCCACCCGCCTTGGCCTCCCAAAAAGTGCTGGGATTACAGGCATGAGCCACCTCGACCAGCCTAGGATTTCTTTCTTTTTTCTTCTTTTTTTTTTTTTTTTTTGCACAGATTAGGTTATCCTGGATACATACTCCTGTATTTAGAGATTATTATGATGTCATCACATGCACTTTGCCTTCTTGCTATTCATTTATTTATTATTATTATTTTTTTTATTTTTTATTTTTATTTTTATTATTATTATTATTTTTTTTTTTTTTTTGAGACGGAGTTTCGCTCTTGTTACCCAGGCTGGAGTGCAATGGCGCGATCTCGGCTCACCGCAACCTCCGCCTCCTGGGCTCAGGCAATTCTCCTGCCTCAGCCTCCTAAGTAGCTGGGATTACAGGCATGCACCACCACGCCCAGCTAATTTTTTGTATTTTTAGTCGAGACGGGGTTTCACCATGTTGACCAGGATGGTCTTGATCTCTTGACCTCGTGATCCACCCGCCTCAGCCTCCCAAAGTGCTGGGATTACAGGCTTGAGCCACCGCGCCCGGCTCGGGCTATTTATTATTTTCTATTAAGACAGGGTCTCACTCTGTCACTCAGGCTGCAGTGCTTACTGCACTCGGGCTTGATCACAGCTTACTATAGCCTTGAACTCCTGGACTCAAGCAGTCTTCCTGCCTCAGCTTCATGAGTAACTGGGACCACAGGCATGTGCCACCAGGTTTAGCCAGTTTTAAAGTATTTTATAGAGATGGAATCCTGCTATATTGCCCGGGCTGGTCTCGAACTCCTGGGCTCAAGTGATCCTCCTGCCTCAGCTTCCCACAGTGTTGGGATTACAGGGGTGAGCCACTGCACCAGGCTGCACTTTCCTGTTTCCTTAAAAACTTTCCATGAACTTCATTTGTGGTGACGAAGTAGTATTTCATCTGCTGGTCAGACTGTAATCTAACCATTCCCTATGGTTGGGAACTTGGGAATCTTGGGACTATTTTCATTTTCTAATGTAAACGGTACTGAAATGGACAATTTAGTACATAATAGACTTTCTTCTCTTTCTCTGTTGGCTGTTAAATAAGGAACTGGAGGTCTGCTCTTGACTCCATTTATCAAAATAATTGAAACTAGCCTGTATGTTTATTCATTCACTCACTACTAACAAACTTTTTTTACTGAGTGCTAACATATCCCAGGCCTTCTGCCTAGAGACTGACATTACAGAAATGGGTTAGGAGCCCTCATTTCTTAGTGAGCTAGCATGTAACAAAAAGCTTGGAAATATCTGCTACTGTTTTCAGGTTCTCAACAAGCAGAGCCTGAAACTTCTTCCAAGAACAGTGAGGAATATGAAAAGTCCCTCAAAACGGATGATTCTTCCACGGTTCAGTAAGGATTGAATGATATTTTGGGTGGTGGGAGTGAAGCCCCTCTTGTACTAGCCCTACTATGAGTCATGGTAGGTTTTTTTTTAGTAAGTCCAGTTAAATTGGAGCTCATGCAATCCAGCCTAAATTAAGGGAGCAGGGAAAGGGCAGCTTGTGTTTATGAGTACGTGTTGCACCTCAAGCTTTCTGCATGCATTATTTTATCTTATTTGATCCTCATAATGACAACTTTGTGAGGTGGTATGACTACCTCCATTTTCTACACAAGGTAACTGAGTAATTAAGTGATTTACACAGTCATAAACCAGAATTCCTGGTTAAGCCAGGATTCCAACCCACACCTTCAGACTCCTGAGTCTCCAGCCATCCTGCATGAGGTCAGTTGCTCTTAGGGCCTCTGGTAGCCTGAGAAGGATCTGGAGAAGGAGACTCCTTGGATGCTATGGGGACCAGGGAGAGAATGGAAGCCCAGCTGATGGTTTGGGAAAATGGAATGAGAAGAACCAAGAGAACATGTCTTTAAACAATTTTGATTTTTAAAAATTGCTTTTGTATTGAATGTATAGATTAATTTGGGAAGAATTAACATTTTTACATTGTTGAAGTATCTCACCCATGATCATGGTATATCCTTTCACTCAATTCAGACCCTCCCCTGTGTCCTTTAATTAATTTGTTCTACCTATAAATGTTGTGGATAATTTCTATAAGTGAATTCTTAGATGTTTTATAGTTTGGGCTATTTTTATAAAAACATTTCTCATTATATTTTTTGAGTTGGTTAGTACCTTGAATGCAGACCAACTGTGCCAACATTACTGGGGATTTGATACAAATGCAGAATTTCAGGCCTGCCCCTGGTTTACTGAACCAGAGTCTGCATTTTATTTGACAAGATCCCTGGGTAACTCACAGGCACATTGAAAACTTAGAAGCACTGTGTTAGAGGAATGCACTAGAAGATTTTTTTTAAATCTGCTTTCATTTAGTCCATCAGTAAATAGATTCTCAGATCGGGCCCCTGATGTTTTTCACCTTCATTACTTTTTCTCTTTGTGAATTTTCTAGATGGAGTGTTTCAAGAACACCAACCATTTCTTTGGCAGGAGCAAGCATGATGGAGATCAAGGAATTAATTGAGACTGAGTCATTTAGCAGCTTAAACATATTAGACAGACAAAGATCTCAAAGTAAGTTAGGATTTGGGGATCTTATAATACAACTAGACTTGGAAGAATTATGAAATATTTTAAATTCAGGATACTTCAATGAGATTCTTGCATATTTGACCAAATGTTTCTCAAAAGGAAGAATACTGTATGCATTTTCAACTTATGCATTCCATCCTTCCTGTCCATCCATCCATCCATTCCCATGTCTCCACTCATCTATCTGTCCATCCCATCTATCATCCATCCACCTGTATTCATCCATCCATTCATTCATCCATCCCTATCCATCCATCCCCATCCATTCATCCACCCACCCATTCCATTCATTAATCCATCCATCAATCCATCTCCATCTATCCATCCATTTGTTCCATTTCTTCTCATGTCATTCACTCACCCTCATCATCCATCCCACTCCACCAATATTTTTGACCCGTGGTGTTGTGCATATGGAGGACATGAAAATCTCTAATATTTAGTGGAGACTTTCAAATAAAGAACTATAATTCCATGTGATGGATGCTATGGTAGGGGTAGGTTTATGGTATGTTGGGGAAGCATAAAGGAGTAGTGTTTATGGAAAGACTCTTTGAAAGATGAAGTATTTACTTTTTCTTTTCTTTTCTTTTTTTTGAGAGGGAGTCTCGCTCTGTCACCCAGGCTGGAGTGCAGTGGCACAATCTCGACTCAATGCAACCTCTGCCTCCTGGGTTCAAGTGATTCTCCTGCCTCAGCCTCCTGAGTAGCTGGGATTACAGGCATCTGCCACCACACCCAGCTAATTTTTATATTTTTCACCATGTTGGTCAGGCTGGTCTCAAACTCCTGACCTCAAGTGATCCACCTGCCTCGGCCTCCCAAAGTGCTAGGATTACAAGTGTGAGCTACCATGCCCAGCTCAGTATTTACTCTTAGAGTGGAATGAAGAACACAGTATCCCACGTCATGGGACCCACTCATGCAGAAGCATGTAATCTTATTCACGTACTGTCAAGAGAGTAGAACCCTCAGAAGCCACTAAACCGACTTCCTCATTCTCAGCGGAGATCCCCTCACCAGTTTCTCAAGAAGTTGTGTTTCCAGTGTGATGTGGGAACATCTAGAGCCAGTGAGTGCACTGCTGCCTCCTGGGTTGGGCCATTTCACATCCTGTTAGCTGTAATTGCTACAGATCATTTCCTTGTCTCTCAATCAGTTACCTGTTGTTATTGTTTCCTGACACTGGCCTGGTTCTAGTAGTGCAATAGCTGAAGTTTGCGGAGAGAAGTGACTGCTTGAGCCAGGCTCTCTGCTGGGTGCTGGAGACACAGTTGAAGAAAACTCATTCCCATTTTTCCGGTCCACAAAGACTGAATCACACTTTCACATGTGAGCGCCTCTCAATTTCGGACTTTTTTCTTTCCCAGATTAAAAGTATCACTCTTAGGCCGGGCGCGGTGGCTCAAGCCTGTAATCCCAGCACTTTGGGAGGCTGAGGCGCGTGGATCACGAGGTCAAGAGATCGAGACCATCCTGGTCAACATGGTGAAACCCCGTCTCTACTAAAAAATACAAAAAATTAGCTGGGCATAGTGGCGCGTGCCTGTAATCCCAGCTACTCAGGAGGCTGAGGCAGGAGAATTGCCTGAACCCAGGAGGCGGAGGTTGCAGTGAGCCGAGATCGCGCCATTGCACTCCAGCCTGGGTAACAAGAGCGAAACTCCGTCTCAAAAAAAAAAAAAAAAAAAAAGTATCACTCTTTAAAAATGTGCTTTAAACATTTAATGAGGTTTTTAAACCATTCTTTTTATTTTGAAATAAAAATAGGAAAGTTCACGGGAAAATGCAGCAACTATATATTCACAGTTTAGGTGTTAGTATTTTGCGTGTGTTGTGGGTGGACCGTCCTTCACGCACACAGTCCCCCTGCTGGGGATCTGAGTTGGCTCCAATTTCTCACTCTCCAGCACTGCCATGGTAAGCATCTGGGCACACATGTTAGTCCCTGGCATTGGCCCACTGGGACTCCTGGGACACAGATGGTGAACTCCGACCCCACTGCTGCTGGTTTACTCTCCAGGTGGCATCTCTTTACCCCGCTGCTAGCAGTCCTGAGGATTGCTGTTCTCTGGCATGCTCTGCACAGGCAGGGTTGAGTTCCTGACTCCTGATGAGGCTGAGCAGCATTGCATTGTCTTATTTGGTCACACTCATGTGATTTGCCGATTCATATCTTTGCTTATTTTTCTGTTCGTTTAAAAAAATTCTTATTGATCTGGCAGCTTTGTGTTTACATCTTCTGGGTAATTGTGCATTGCCAGTTATATGCATGGTAACCCTCAGACAGGGGTATGTAACATATCCTTTGCCTTGATTTATGGTATCTTGTTTTGTACACCAGTTATTTAACTATTCCTCTCTAGTTTATACTTTCAGGAATATTTAAGAAATCCTTCCTCATCTGGGTCCAGTGGTGTGTGCCTGTAGTCCAAGCTACTTGTAAGGCTGAGGGGATGATCACTTGAGCCCAGCGTTTATGGCCAGCCTTGGCAACAATGAAACACCATCTCTCTCTCCTTTTTTTTTTTCCTCCACCCCACACCACCACCCAAGACTGAGTTTCGCTCTTGTCGTCCAGGCTAGAGTGCAGTGGCATGATCTTGGCTCACTGCTACCTCTGCCTCCCAAGTTGAAGCGATTCTCCTGCCTCACCGTCCCAAGAAGCTGGAATTACAGGCGCCTGCCACCATGCCTGGCTAATTTTGTATTTTTAGTAGAGACAGGATTTCACCATGTTGGCCAGGCTGGTCTCAGAATCCTGACCTCAGGTGATCTACCTGCCTCAGCCTCCCAAAGTGCTGGGATTAAAGGCGTAAGCCATTGCGCCTGGCCGAAACATCATCTTTAAAAAAGAAAAAGTCCAGGTGCAGTGACTCATGCCTGTAATCCTAGCACTTTGTGAGGCTAAGGCAGATGGATCACCTGAGGTCAGGAGTTTGAGACTAGCCTGGCCAACATGGTGAAACCCTGTCTCTACCAAAAATACAAACATTAGCCATGTGTGGTGGTGGATGCCTGTGATCCCATCTACTCTGGAGGCCGAGGCAGGGGAATCGCTTGAACCCGGGAGGCGGAGGTTGCAGTGAGCCTCGATCGTGCCACTGCACTCCATCTCCATCCTGGGCAACAGAGTGAAGCTCCGTCTTAAAAAGGCCGGGCGCAGTGGCTCAAGCCCGTAATCCCAGCACTTTGGGAGGCCGAGGCGGGTGGATCACGAGGTCGAGAGATCGAGACCATCCTGATCAACATGGTGAAACCCCGTCTCTACTAAAGATACAAAAAATTAGCTGGGCATGGTGGCACGTGCCTGTAATCCCAGCTACTCAGGAGGCTGAGGCAGGAGAATTGCCTGAACCCAGGAGGCGGAGGTTGCGGTGAGCCGAGATCGCGCCATTGCACTCCAGCCTGGGTAACAAGAGCGAAACTCCGTCTCAAAAAAAAAAAAAAAAAAAAAAAAGCCTTCTTCATCCAGATGTCAGTATAGTCTCCTAGATACTCTGATGATTATTTTAAAGTTTTTGTTTTATACTTTTAGCTGGAATTCATTTTGTATATGTCATGAAGTAATTCAGTAACTTCATTTGCTCCCATATGCATAGTCAATATAATTTACCCATTGATCTGAAATGCCACTTCTGGCATCTGTTAGGTTCTCCTATGTGTTTGGGTCTGTTCCTGGGCTTTCTCATCTGTCCCACTGGTCTTGATGACCATAGATTTATATGCATTCTCATCTCCTTTTCCTTCTGATCTAGGCTTGGTACTGAGCTGAGGGTTTTATGCAGCATTGCTAATTTCTTCCTCTTAGTGCCCTAGAAGGGAGGTGGTGTTGCCCTCATTTAACAGGTGAGGTTACTGAGGCTCAGGCTGGGTTTTGTTTTGAGAGTAGGGTCTCTTTAAAAAGCCCATCCTCGGCCGGGCGCGGTGGCTCAAGCCTCTAATCCCAGCACTTTGGGAGGCCGAGGCGGGTGGATCACGAGGTCAAGAGATCGAGATCATTCTGATCAACATGGTGAAACCCCGTCTCTACTAAAAAATACAAAAAATTAGCTGGGCATGGTGGCGTGTGTCTGTAATCCCAGCTACTCAGGAGGCTGAGGCAGGAGAATTGCCTGAACCCAGGAGGCGGAGGTTGCGGTGAGCCGAGATCGCGCCATTGCACTCCAGCCTGGGTAACAAGAGCGAAACTCCGTCTCAAAAAAAAAAAAAAAAAAAAAAAAGCCCATCCTCCACCCTGCACTGAGGTTAAGAGCTGAGTGGAGGAGAGTCTTGAGTGAGCCTGTGGTGTCGCTGTCATTGTGACCTTAGTCCTCTTCTGCCCATTTTCTCAGCAGTGGGAGGGGATGACAGGCCCTCAACTTATTCCTACACATACTGAAAACGAGCCTGCCATCTATACATATCTATTTTTTTGAGACTGAGTCTCTCAGTGCCCAGGCTGGAGTACAATGGTGAGATCTCGGCTCACTGCAACCTCCACCTCCTGGGTTCAAGTGATTCTCCTGCCCCAGCCTTCTGAGTAGCTGGGGTTATAGGCATGTGTCACCACATCTGGCCGATTTTTGTATTTTTAGTAGAGACAGGGTTTCTCCATGTTAGTCAGGTTGGTCTCGAACTCTCAACCTCAGATGATCCAGCTGCCTCGGCCTCCCAAAGTGCTGGGATTACAGGTGTGAGCCACCATGCCGGGCCCTGCCATCTATACTTAGCTACCACTTCTGGTTGCTTGGAAGAGGCAGTGGCTCAAAGAACAACCCTTGCCATCTAGGAGCTTCTGGAACCTTCCCAAATCTCTGTAGCATGTTCAGATCCACATATGGCAACTCAGATACAGTCTCCTTTTAATGCTTCTCCTCCTTTCTTTGATTTCACAGTTAAAGGGAAAGATTTAGAGGGAAGAAAGAAAATCCAGAAGAGACGTAAGAAGCCCCCAGCAGAAGAGGAGGCAGACCCGGCGCTGACAGGCCCCAGGAGGCAGAGCGCCTTCTCCATCCAGCTGGCCCTCATGCCGCTTTTTGCCGGTACCCACTCCTTGCCCTGTTCCCAGTAGCTCCCGCTTGTCTTGTCATGCATGGCCAGAATGGCCATAAGCGGATGCTCGCGATGACAGCACTGCTGCATGCCACCTCATTTCATCCTCACAGCCATCTCGGGGAAACTCGGGGGAATTGGAGTCATAGTACCGGGGGAAACGGAGGCCCAGAGAGGGCCTGAGATCACATTGCCTGAGATCACACAGCTGGGAAGTGTGAAGCCTAGACTTGAACCCAGCTGTCTGATTCCAAAATCCAAAGAAGCCTATAAGAATATTAGGTGTCATCATTGTGTTTGCTAAGAAGATGCTGCTTTTGATGGGTGCTTTCCTACAGATTATTATAAAATCATCTAGGAAAGGAAATGAGGAAAGGGAACGCTTTTTGACTGAGCCTCTCTGGGTGCAGGCACCTCCTGTATGACACATCCCTCATTTCTCAGGGCAGACTCTGACCCACGCAGCCAACCTGTGGTTTGGTGATGGCTGTGGTGGTTATCATTGTTACCATTTTTTTCAGTGAGGAAAAGAACTCAGAGAGGTTGAGTAACTCTCCTAAGGCCGCACAGCTCAGTGACCAAACGGGGATTTAATTCTTTTGGTTTATAAGATCTACCACAATTTATGAACTAGATTTTCTACATATTGGTAAATCATAACTAAATATTATTTCATTATGTTTTGATGATGGAAAACTCAGCATATATTTTGGTTAAATTATGTTGTATTTTTCCGCAAAAAAAAGTAATAGGGGGAGAATGCCCCTTTTTTTTCTTTTTAGAGAATGTAATTTCAGACTTTGTTCGTTTTTTGGCCATCACGTGTCTTGTGCGCCCTCTCCTGGCTGCCTTGCAGAAGCGCATGTTGGTCTTTGAGCTGGAACCAGCGCTCATAGAGGAGGGAGCAAAAACCACAGAAAGCTTCCAGTTGGCTTCCACAGGTGTCAGTCATCCTCCTCCTCGTGCGCTCTTGGGTTGGTGTCGATTCATTTTTGAGAAAGTGCTATTATCTTTTTAGTTTGCACTTTTTTTTTTTTTGAGATAGGGTCTTGCTCTGTCACCCAGGCTGGAGTGCAAGTGACAGTCATATCTCACTCCAGCCTCAAGACAGCCTCCCGCCTCTGCCACCAACATAGCTGACAACAGGTGCATGCCACCACATCTGGCTAATTATTTTTGTATTTTCTGTAGAGACAAGGTCTTGCTATGTTGCCCAGGCCGGTCTCAAACTCCTGGGCACAAGTAATCCTCCCGCCTCAGCCTCTGAGAGTTCTAGAATTACAGGCGTGAGCTGCTGCATGTGGCAGTTTGCAGTTTTAAATGACTTTTTGAAAGTCATATTTCACCTACATCTGGTCCTTCCTGACCACCTTCACTTTCTTGTAGCATCAGAACCTTCTCGAGAAGCAACCATGCCAGAGAGGAAAGTTTCAGAGGCTCTTCCCCACCCTGCGCACCAGCCTGACCCTCCAGCACGCCTGCTGCACACGGTGGCTTTGCACAGATGCCTTTGCTAGCTGCTTCCTTTATCCCAGAGTCCCAAAGAGGAACTTATGATTCTCCTAGGGAGCGTACCATGGGACCTGCCCCACTTTGGATTTTACTGTGAGAGGAAAGAGAAGCTCAACTGGCTTGGCCTGCCTGGCATGGCTGTTTCCAGCACAGTAAAGTCAGGACGTGCCCCCACCCCCACCCGCCTTTTTTTGAGATGGAGTCTTGCTCTGTTGTCCAGGCTGGAGTGCAGTGGCACGGTCTCGACTCTCTACAACCTCTGTCCCCCAGGTTTAAGCAACTCTCTTCCCTCAGCCTCCAAAGTAGCTGGGATTACAGGTGCATGCTACCACACCCGGCTGATTTTTGTTTTTAGTAGACATAGGGTTTCACTATGTTGGCCAGGCTGGTCTCGAACTCCTGACCTTAAGTGATCCACCACTTCAGCCTCCCAAAGTGCTGGGATTACAGGTGTGAGTCACCATGCCCAACGTAGCTTCCCTTCTCTTTTAACCTGCACCATTATGGCTGTACAATGCAGGGTTCATATGTAAGAGCTTCGGTGACAAAAACACTTTGATCCTGGCTCAGCCACTTAACAGCAAGTTGCTGCTTTAGTCTCACTTTTTTCCTCTGTGAAAGGAGGGTGATTCCTCCCACCTCAGAGTGCTGTTTTAAGGATCACAGGAGCTGATGTGTGTAAACTGCTTAGCACAGTGAGACCCAGAGGGTGCTGGTGGGGAGGCAGCAGTTGCTTCCCGAGGCTGTGCGGCTGGGCTGCTCTGTCATACCCCTGACATAGCCCATGGTCATCCATGGAGAACGGCTTGGCTCAGCAGGCCAGTTGTACGTCTGGTCTTGCCAGAAGATCATAGCTTGAGATTATTTATTGTAAACCCAGCATAATTATTTTTGGTAGTCATCTTCAATTTCAAATTAGGCCATAGATTTTTGTATACTTTATTGATAAATATTGGTTGGCTACTAACCCAGTAAAAGTGTAGGAAGATTCTGTGTCTGGGAGTGAACTCTTATTTTAAAAGGTTAGCTGCTTAGTGGAGGGCCCCACTTAGCCCAGCAGAACTGGTTTGGATGCTGGTTCCACAGCGTAGTAGCTAAGAGACCTTGGATGATCGTGTCCGAACTCTGGGGCTCAGTTTCCCCACCTGCAATGTGGAGATGACAGCAACTGAACAAGGCTAAAGATGAAATGACATTTGTGCTCGGGACTGGCTGCTGCAGGAGCACAAACATTCCACTCTCACTGGACCAGGGCTCTTCACAAAGGGGGACATTTGGCAGCATGTGGAGGCATTTTGGTTGTCATGACTGGGAGTGGGATGCCACTGGCATCTAGTAAGATGCTATTAAACATGCTACAATGCACAGGACTGTCCCTCGAGCAAAGAATGGTCTGCCCCAAGAGTCAAGCAGTCTAGAGGCTGCGAGCTCCGAGCCTGGAATTCTGGTGCATGTCTCTCTGATTCTCATGATTTGAGCACTTCCCCCCCTCCCCCCCTGCACTGGGATTTCCTTCTATCTTGGGTAGTCTTTTATGTGAAAAAGCTCACAGAATTATAGAACGCAGGTGTAATGAGTGACAGATTTCGTGAACCAGCTTTGTTGAAGATCCCAATGGAGCCTGAGGGCGGCCCCCAGGAGCTGCGCCGACCTCTCCTCACAGCCTGTGCAGACGTCTGTGTACACCTGGCCTGTGACTTGTTTTAGAAGCAGCTGCTCTCCCTGAATGTGAGCGACTTGGCTTTTACTTGCCCTAGAAATACGTTTACAGGCATACTAAAAGGAATAGATTGATCTTTTTGAGCACCTTCACATTCATCATCTTTCTTAATCCTTTAACTCCAAGGAAGGTGTTATCTATCCCTATTTAGCAGATGAAATTGAGTCTCAGAGAATCTAGCTTATCACATGACACAGTCAGATGTGGGATTCAAACCAGGTCAATCCTACCTCCAAAACATGAGTCTTTTTTTTTTTTTTTTTCTATCTAGTACATCTGACTGCTGAAACACATAGACCCCTTTTATAGAAAAAAGCGTCCTGACAGCTACCTATATGCCTTGCAGTGGCTCAGTTCACCCACGCTTTCCGCGAGGGGCACTAGTGCAAAACCACCCTGGTGGGAAGTGTGCACGCTTGTATTTGGCTCAGATGTGCCAGTTGTGCCCTACATTAATGTCTGTGCTTTCCTCACCAGACCACAACAGTCGAGGCAACCCCACTGAGTACCAAATGTATATACTGGCATGATGGGTTCTTGATGGGAGAACTGCCTAGAGCAATCCATCAGTAGCCTTTCTGCAGCCATGGCCAGGCTCTCTGCTGTCCCATACAGGAGCCCATAGCCACATGAGGGTCCCGGGCATTTGGAATGTGGCTTGTATGGGAAGGAAGTGCATTTTACATATTACTGAATTTTACTTAGTTACAATTCAAGTAGCTACCTATGGCCCATAGCTACCATAGTGGACGGCACATGTCTAGAACGTTGGTTCTCAAGTTACCTGGAGAGTTTTTAAACTTCCCATTGTGGAGGCCACACCCCAGACCAATTTAAATCCGACTGTCTGGGAGTGGCACTGACTCATAGGTGTTCCTTATTTTGTCCTGGATGATTCAGGAAATGCTTATATCACTTCTTAAAAGATGTCATCAAGATTAAGTCACACAAATTCAATTTTCCTAGGGAATTTACGGGACCTCAGTTTGAGAAACTAGTGTGTAACCTACTGCCTGTGGGCATTTCCTGATTCTTTTATTTATTTTTTTAATTAAAATTTTCCCTTTTTGGCTGTGATTTTACCGTTGGCTCATCTCCGGCTGCTTGATCCCTCTGTGCTTGTCTTGGGGCTGTCATGAATAAAGGTCTAATGCTGGGTATGTCTCCCCGCAGGATGGCAAACTGTCATGAGTCGTGGCAGTGAGAAGTCTGCCAACATTTTAGATTGCCTTTTGACTTTAAAAACAGAAGTTCCGATTATGACCGAGGAGCAAAAGCAGGATTTAAATCCCCTGACCATAAAGATCAAGTGTGCTTCCTGCCTTCCGTCGCAGCCTGTGCCCACTCAGGAACTAGAGGTAAGAATGAACCCGACTCTTGGAGTTTAGAGCGCCTCCCCTTCCACCCACCTGCCCATCACAGGACATCTCTAGTCCTCCCAATGGCCCACATGAGAAATATGGTCATCACCTACATCTTACCATTTAGGACCCGCAGTGAGATACAAAAGAGTTGGGATTCGGGGATTAGGCATGACCAATCCTGAGGGCTCTTACTAGGCCACAGGTGTTCCTCACATGCTGGTCATGAGACTCCCTTCCGGAGCCCCCAGGGCTTCCCTGTTCCCACAGCAGTTGCCAGCCGGGTGCTTGCTCTTCTGAACCAACCAGGTTCAGCACTGCTGTTTATTCTGGGAGTTCCTTGTTCCCTCTTCCAGTTGGATCCCTGTCTCCTGAATTCTGTCTTCCTCTTCCTTTATTTGCTGTCTGGTTTTGCTGGAGTGCATCCTCCAGCAGCTTCTTGAGAAAAGGTCAGTGGGAGATTTATTTTTGAGATCTCATATGTCTGCAGATGTATTTTTTTCTATCCTTTTTTATCCTTACACTTGACTGGTAGTTTGGCTGCCTGTTGAATTCTTGGCTAAAAATCATTTGCCATCAGAGTTTTGAAGGCATTGTTCCATCTTTTATTTTCATACAAGTTGAACCTTTGTAGGCAACCTGTTTTTTTGTCTTCTTTTTAATTTTATTTATTTATTGAGATGGCGTTTCACTCTTGTTGCCCAGGCTGGAGTACAATGGCGCGATTTCAGCTCACCACAACCTCCTCCTCCCAGGTACAAGCGATTCTCTTACCTCAGCCTCCCAAGTAGCTAGGATTACAGCATGGGCCACAATGCTCAGCTAACTTGGTATTTTTAGTAGAGATGGAATTTCTCCATGTTGGTTAGGCTGGTCTCAAACTCCTGACTCAGGTAATCTGCCCACCTTGGTCTCCCAAAGTGCTGGAATTATAGACATGAGCCACCACACCTGGCCTTGTCTTCTTTTTAAAAAAAAAAAAAAAAAAATTGTGACGGGGTCTCACTCTGCCACTTTGTCTGGAGTGCAGTGGTGCAATCATAGCTCACTGCAGCCTCAAGCTCCTGGATTCGGGTGATCCTTCTGCCTCAGCCTCCTGAGTAGCTGAGACCGCAGGTACATGCCACCACATCCAGCCAATTGTTGTATTTCTGTAGAGACAGGGTTTTGCCATGTTGCCCAGGCTGGTTTTAAACTCCCGGGATCAAGTGATCCTCCTTCCTTGGCCTCCTAAAGTGCTAGGATTACAGGTGTGAGCCACAGTACCAGCCCTTCTTGTCTTCTGAAACTGCTTAATTGTGTGTCTTAGTGTGGGTGTGTCCATATACATATGTCATACTTTTATTTTAAAATACAGAGTCACAGAAAGTTGCAAAGATAGTACAGAGAGATCCCATGTATCCTTTACCCAATTTCTTCAGTAATTAGGCGTTTCATAACTATAGCACAATATCAAAATCGGCACCTTGACATTGGTCTAACACGTATATAGGTCTCTGCCATTTTATTGTACATGCATATAAAACTGTCACAACACTTGAGATGTAGAAATATTCTATCACCATAAAGTAAAAAAGAAAAAATGTTCTATCACTACAAAGATCTTCATGCTACCCTTTTATAGCCACATCAACCTCTGAACACGCACCATCCCTAACCACTAATTTGCTCTTCATCTCTATACCTTTGTCAACTTAAAAATGTTATTGTTAAGAACTGAATTGTGTCCCCTGCCAAAAATGGTATGTTGAACTCCTAACACCCAGTGTCTCAGAATGTGCTCTTGCTTGGAAAGAGGGTCTTTGCAGAGGTCATCAAGTTGAAATGAGGTCATTAGGGTATCCTTCTGAAAAGGGGAAAATTGGACACAGAGACAGACACACAGGGAAGACGTTGCAAAGTGACACACGAAGAATGCCACATGGAAAGTGGATGCTGCCACATGCCAGGGGACATCTGGGGCCACCAGAAGCTGGAAGAGGCAAGGAAGGACCTTCCCGAGCACGTTCCAAGGAAACGTGGCCCTGCCAACAGCTTAGTTTCTGACTTCTAGCCCTCAGAACAGTGAGATGATAAATTTCTATCATTGTAAGCCCTCCAGTTTATGGTGCTTCATAGGAACCTGGCATGGTTATGTAAGTGAAAACACCCAGGATGTGTGACCTTTTGAGACTGGCCTCTTCCCCACTCCAGCATGGTGCCCTTTTGCATATAGTTTGGTCACATTTCTTTATTTACTCTGCCTTTTAATTGATGTGTTTAGACCATTATATTCAAGTAAATGTTGATGTATTAGAGCTTAAGTCTACCATTTTAATTTTTGTTTTCCGCCTGTTCTTTCTGTTTGTTTCTCGGTGTTGTTTTTGTTTTGTTTGTTTTTTTCCTTTCCTGTGGGTTACGTGACCAGGTTTTAGAATTGCATTTTGATTTATCTACAGTATTTTTGAATTTATATCTCTTTGTATAGCTCTTTAGTGGCACTCTGGGTATTATATTATGCATACATAACTTTGCACAATCTATTGGTATCAATATTTTACCAGTTTGAGTGAAATATAGAAACTTCACCTCCCTTCACATCCCTTTAGTTTTCCTAAATATTTCTTCTACATAGATTGACAACCGTATGAGATGATGTTTGCTTCAACTGTCAGACATAACCTGGAAAACTCAAGGGGTGAAGGAAAGTTTGTATGTTTACCTGTGGTTCTACTTACCCCATCATCCTTTCTTCCTTTCTAATGTTTCAAGACGACTTCTTTTGCCATTTCCTTTCTGCTTTAAGAACTTCCTTTAGCCTTTCTTCTAGTATCAATCTGCTGAAAACCAATTCTTTTAGTTGTTCTTTGTCTCAGAGTATTTTTATTTGTCCTTTATTCTGGAAGGATAGTTTCACTGGATATAGAATTGGTATAGAATGGGGTTGATTTTTTTTTTTTTTTTTTTTGAGACAGTCTGGTTCTGTCACCCAGGCTGGAGTACAGTGGTGGGCAATCTTGGCTCAATTGCAACCTCCGCCTCCTGGGTTCAAGTGATTCTCCTGCCTCAGCTTGCCAAGTAGGTGAGATTATAGGCATGCACCACCATGCCCAGTTAATATTTGTATTTTTTAGTAGAGACTGGGATTTTACCGTGTTAGCCAGGCTGGTCTCGAGCTCCTGACCTCAAATGATTCACCCGCCTCAGCCTCCCAAAGTGCTGGGGTTACAGGTGTGAACCACCATGCCTGCCAGATTTTTATTTGTTTGTTTTATTAGACTTTCTGTTCTGGGGTACATGTGCAGAATACGCAGGTTTGTTCCATGTGCCGTGGTGGTTAGCTGCATCCATCACCCCATCTACATTAGGTGTTTCTCCTAATGCTATCCCTTCCCTCGTCCCCGACTGGCGATAGGCCCCAATGTGTGGGGTTCCCCTCCCTGTGTCCATGAGTTCTCATTGTTCAACTCCCACTTATGAGTAAGAACATGCAGTGTTTGGTTTCCTGTTCTTGTGTTTGCTGAGAATGATGGTTTCCAGCTTCATCCATGTCCCTGCAAAGGACATGAACTCATATTTTTTATGGCTGCATAGTATTCCATGGTGTATATGTGCCACATTTTCTTTATTCAGTCTATCATTGATGGGCATTCGGGTTGGTTCCAAGTCTTTGCTATGAGCAGTGCCACAATAAACATACATGTGCATGTGTCTTTATGATTATTTATAATTCTTTGAGTATATACCCAGTAATGGGATTGCTGGATCAAATGGTATTTCTAGTTCTAGATCACTGAGGAATCGCCAGACTGTCTTCCACAATGGCTCAACTAATTGACACTCCCACCAACAGTATAAAAGCATTCCTGTTTCTCCACATCCTCTCCAGCATCTGTTTTCTCTTGATTTTTTTTTTTTTTTTTTTTTTTTAGACGGAGTTTTACTCTTGTTACCCAGGCTAGAGTGCAATGGCACGATCTCGGCTCACCGCAACCTCCACCTCCTGGGTTCAGGCAATTCTCCTGCCTCAACCTCCTGAGTAGCTGGGATTACAGGCACATGCCACCATGCCCAGCTAATTTTTTGTATTTTTAGTAGAGACAGGGTTTCACCATGTTGACCAGGATGGTCTCAATCTCTTGACCTCATAATCCACCCGCTTTGGCCTCCCAAAGTGCTGGGATTACAGGCTTGAGCCACCGCACCCAGCGTTTCTCTTGATTTTTTTAATAATCATCATTCTAACTGGTATGAGATGGTATCTCATTGTGGTTTTAATTTGCATTTCTCTAATGACCAGTGATGATGAGCTTTTTTTCATATATTTATTGACTGTATAAATGTCTCCTTTTGAGAAATGTCTGTTCATATTCTTCACCCACTTTTTGAATTTTTTTTTTTTTTTTGGTAAATTAAAGTTCTTTATAGATTCTGGATTTTAGCCCTTTGTCAGATGGGTAGATTGCAAAAATGTTCTGTTCTATAGGTTGCCTGTTCACTCTGATAATAGTTTCTTTTGCTGTGCAGAAGCTCTTTAGTTTAATTAGATCCCATTTTTCTAATTACTTTTGTCATTGCTTTTGGTGTTTTAGTCATGAAGTCCTTTCCATGCCTATGTTCTGAATGGTATTGCCTAGGTTTCTTCTAGAGTTTTTATGGTTTTAGATCTTGTATTTAACTCTTTAGTCCACCTTGAGTTAATTTTTGTACAAGGTGTAAGAAAGGGCTCCAGTTTCGGCTTTCTGCATATGGCTAGCCAGTTTCCCCAACACAATTTATTAAATAAGGAATCATTTCCCCATTGCTTGTTTTGGTCAGTTTGTCAAAGATCAGGTGGTTGTAGATGTGTGGCATTATTTCTGAGGCCTTCGTTCTGTTCCATTAGTCTATCTCTGTTTTGGTACCAGTACCATGCAGTTTTGATTACTGTAGCCTTGTAGTGTAGTTTGAAATCGGGTAGTGTGATGCCTCTAGCTTTGTTTTTTTTTGTTTGTTCTGGTTTTTTGTGTTTGTTTTGC